GCCTCTCCCGCCAGGCCTGTCCTACTCCCGCGCGCTCCGGGGCCCGCCCCCGCCGCCATCTTGGTCTAGGAGGGAGCGGGCCGCACGCGTGAGTAAACAGCCGGAGCCAGGAAAGTCGAGGTCGGGCCGCGTCCGGGTGCTGCAGGGCAGCAGCGGAGAGGACGCAGGCCTGTCTTCGTACGTGGGGGTGAATATCGGGGTCACAGTGCTAGGCGGTGGGGAACCGTCAGCCTGGCGCAACCTCCGCCCCCTCGCGGTGAGACGCTTCGCTCCCCGGGCTTCTCCCGCCGCCGCGCCGGTCTCCTCCCGCTGTTGAAAGCTGCCCGGGAAACTGGTGGCGGGAGCGGGCCCTGGGCGGAGCGCGGCGTGGGCCTGGGTGCGTGTTGCGGCGCGCAGGCGGAGGTTAGGACCTTGGGTTTGTGCTCGAGGGGCCCGGGGCGTGGACGCGGTGGCTCTGGGAGGACGGGGGCGGGCGCGCGGGGCCGCCGCGGAGCTGTTTCCATCGGTCACTGGATTGTCTCCTTTTCCGGTCCGGCCCTCAGGGGGGTGCCGACATGACGGCCCCGGGCCACAGCCCCCTCGTGCCGCTGTTGGAGACTTTGGAAGACCCTTCTGCCTCCCATGGAGAGCAGACCGACGCTTACCTGACCCTGACTAGGTGAGGCCTGCTGGGGGTATGGGGTGGGGCGCCCTGGCGGGTCTTGGGGAGGAGATAGCCCGGGTGGGGCACGCGAAGCGAGTTTGTGTGTTCTGGAAGTCTGGCAGCTGCGGGGACGCCGGGGTGCGGCGTGCCAGGTGACGTTCCCGGCTGCGGGTGCTGCTGCCCTTAAGGTGCAAGTTTGGAATGAGGAAGCCTGCACGTGTGTCTTGCAAGCGAAGGGTTAAGAAAAGTTTGGTTGGAAGGGAGTGTGCTGGAGTAGTGGTTTTTCAGCGTGAGCCGCCTGTGTTTCGGGACAGTGGGGGAACCCACAATTGGTTTTTTAATAGCGAGCAGTAAACCGAGTTCTCTTTTAATCGCAAATGCTTCCCACGTTTTTTTTTCCCCCTGCAGACCATGTTTTTCTGAGTTAAATGTAGTTTGGAAATTGCAAGGAAAGGGTAACTACTGGTATAAAGCGATAAAGATTTAGTAAGTTTCTAAGTTTTTAACTAGGGATAGATTTCCCCGTTTCCTCTTCACATAGAGAAGCTGTCAAAACCTGTGTACAGTGTGGATGCACAAGTTATTCTGAGGGTTTCTTCGCATTTATATTCTTACATGTTCTTAAAACATTTTCAGCACTGGGTCAGTTAATTTGCCCGTGTTCTAACATAATGTTTAAAAAGATTATGCAGGTATTTCATAGTTCATTTTTGTGTCTGCTGTTTGCATAAATTTGTGTTCTTTCTGCTTTTCTGAAGTCGTATGACTGGAGAAGATGGAAAAGAAATCATTATAGAAATTGAGAAGAAACTTCCTCAGCTAATCAGAGTTTTAAAGGTATGTATGTATCTTTGTTGTAAATAGTTTTTACTTTGTGGGAAAAACAGGTTTTGCCAATTAACTTAAAAACTTTGAGTCTAAAATAAAATAACAGCAGGGTTATTATAGTACTGTTTGAGGACTTACAATGTATCAGGTGCCATATCAGGTGCTATCTTAATTATCTTGTTTTCTCTCACTTAATCCTCCCTGTCCCAGTGAGGCTAGTCTTTAATCCCCACTTTGCAGAAGAAATTAGTTTAACGTGCCTAAAGTCGGCTGTGGTCACTTGAATCCAAAACTTGCACTCTTCATAGGGAAGCGGTGATCAGAGATTATTTAATCTGTTTTTTTTTCTCCTTTTGTAGCAATGTACTTTTAAATAAAATGAATCTCTAGTTTTGTCATTGGTCTACTGTGTGGGTAACATTCATTTTTTTATCTTCACTCACCCTTAGTTTTTGCCACTCTTGCTTATTTAAAAAACCGCTTATGGTTATCTTGTTTGCTTGTTTATAGGGAGGTTGTGTAGTTTAACATCAAACTCAGGACCTATGCTCTTGTCGTCACTTGAGTATACTGTGCTTTTGTGACTTGATTTTCCTTTACACGTAACTTAATTTCCTTGTTTTTAGAATAAAGAGGTTGAACTAAATCTCCAAAGTCCCTTTGAGTTCTTATTTTTGTGACCCTGTTTTTGTGCTTTTAAACGGAAGTATTCTGTCAAGATGTTCATTATACATTTTACCATGATTTCAGGCCAAATGTTGAGACATTGGGGGTACTACCTTGCCTACCCTTAAATATTCCTGTTATAGTCATAAGTGGTTTTTGTTCATGTAAGCAAGAACTTTATTGTGTAGTAGGTCGACTTGTTAATAGTATAAACAATATTAATGGTATTATTTATTGTCCCATTTTTCTTCATTGTCATTTTCCACATTCTTGTAGTGTATTTGTTGTGATGAAGACATGTATAATGTGTTTGGTATTTGAGAGCATGTAGGATCAGAAACTCATTTGCATGCGTTTTGAATTAAGTTGCATTGTTTGTAAATAGGGTTTGTAACTAAAATGCGTAATAATTATTTAGAAGCATGTGGGTGATTAATGATAGGAAAATCAAAAGTTGATCACACACATATTAGCTACTATCTAGGAGATATAGTAGTAGCTCTCATCATCTTAAGTGTTTAAGACTTTGTATCTCAGGGTGTAGTATTTTGGATGTTTGGTTTGATTAATTATGAAAGGGGTGCTCCAAGGAAGTGTCTCTTCTTATATTTGACTACTAACATTTACCATTCTTCTCTGTCAAGAGTAGCAGATAGTCGAGGATTCCTTGGATATTGGATTCACAGAAATGGGGGGATTTGAAGATAAATCACTTTGCAATGGGAAATGGTACCAAGAATGCAGGGTTACAAGTAAATGTAGGGTTGGGGCATATGGCAAGACTCCCTTTGACAGGTTTGGGATTTTATAACTTTTACATATAGAATATGCATTGGGCTTTGAATTCCAGATGGTCATGGACTCAAATTCTCGTGTCTGTGAAGTATTGAGATAATGTTTAAAGGTCCTAGCACTTTAGCTACTTAGTAAATGTTACATTCCAGCTCCTTCCCTCTCTGTGTTAGAGGTGTTGCTCCACTCCATAGCAAATATGTCAGCTTTTGCCTTTGAGTCTTGCTTTCTTTTTGTGGAAGGGTTTTGCTCCTACTCTTTGTTTCCTGTCTAGTGTCTTCAGCATCTTCCATTTGTTGGCTTTTATTTTTTTTGCTTTCAGATGTGTGGAGATGTTCTTTTCCTTTTAAGAAAAATATTCTTTCTTTAGGGGATCTCTACCTAGTTTCCTTCTTTCTTTGCCAAGGTGTATCCATGGCCTCCTGATCTTACTCCTTTTTAATCTGCTCTCAAAGATCTGTTGATTGTTGGAATTAAAATGTAATTTTGTTTTTAATCAATTTTTGCTGTCTAAAAATTAATTTACAGTTGTACTTGTTTGTAACAAATGTTATTTTATTTTCGAAGACTCACATTGCCAGTCAAAACTCAGAGCTCAGTAGTGCTGCTCTGCAGGCCTTGGGGTTTTGCTTATATAATCCGAAAATTACCTCTGGATTATCAGGTAAATTTATTGTGATATAGTATTTTTAGAGTTTATAGTTTGATACTGTTAAATGTACTGTTACCTCTCTATTAGTTTCATAACCTGTAGTTTAGGATTTGCTTTTGAGAAAGTGTTTAGGTTATATCATTGTTGGAAGGTTTCTTTTCCTTAGATGTAGTTCTGACTTTGTTACCATAAAGTTTGCTATAAAAGAAAATAAAATAAGCCTATTTAAAAATAATTGTTGAGAAAACTGAACCTTGTCCTTTATAAAAACACACCTGCTTTGGAAGTTTATAATTAGATGGAATTAATTTTGGAAGTTAGATGGTGATTTATTTTACACAGGCATGTGTTAAGGAACATGCTGTAATTTGAACAGTTCTTTCACCTAGTGGTAAATGAGATAATTTGGAGCTAAAAGTGGTAATGGAAAGCACAGGATCTGATGCTTTTCTGAGTTTTCAAGCGTCCTTGGCCCTCTGTATCCTTGGATGCAGAACCCACGCATGTGGAAGGCATAAGGGACATGAGCATCTCTTGGATTTTGATATTCCTGAGAGGGGGTCCTGGAACCAGTTTCCCATGGATATCAGGGGAGGATTGTGATCTTAATTATTGTTCTGTAAGTAGCTTGTCATGGTAAAGGAAACCTGGGAGGTGATCTTTAGAGAGAAGAAATTAGGAATAGGGATTAAGGATATCAGAAAGTTGTTACCATCTTTTTTTCTGAGGAAAAAGTTTCCGCTTTTTTTATATAGAAATGTTAGCAATCTAAAGTAGGAGTTGTTCATTTTGGAGCAGAGATATAGGATTCATAATGTCTTGCCAAAAATTGACTTGTATGTTCATACCTAATAATAAGATCTTTTAGAAATATTTTAGTTGAAAAATATCTGATTTAGAGGCTACTATCTGTTTTCTCTGAGAATACCTTCCCTCTGACCTGAGTTTTGCGTTTTGGGAAGAAGTTTGATATCAACATTGGTTCTCTGGTCCTTTTCTCTGGATGTGCATTTAACTTTTTGACACTGAAGGGAACAGGATTTTTCTCTATTTTTCTGTTAGAGATTTTAAAGGATGTAAATGATTCCACATAATTAAAACTGCTTATTTTTCAGAGATAAATATTCAAGAACTGCTTTCAAAACTGAATGATATTGTTAAGAATTCAGATAAAAATGTACGTACTAGGGCACTTTGGGTGATATCCAAACAGACGTTTCCCACTGAAGTTGTTGGCAAAGTAGTGAGTATAGATTTTGTGTATGTCTTCTTAACCACATGCCAGTTAAAAACTTCAGACTTATTCAATTTGTATTTATTTGGTTCTGTCTTTCAGGTATCTAGTATAATTGATTCATTAGAAATAGTCTTTAATAGAGGAGAGATGCATTCTGCTGTTGTGGATTATGAAGCATTAAATGTCATCATAAGGTATGAGTTTGTATGCTATGGAATTTAGAAGAACAGTTTCAGTAAATTTAGAATTTAAGGAGTAGTCTTTTGGGACTTGAATTTGAGTTAAACATTAAAAGAAGGAAATGTCTTCTGGACTAAAAGTCAAGTAACAGGAAGAAGGAAGTAGATGTGCATAAGTTACTAGGTTTCTTTATTTTTACTGAGACAGTCTTTAAAATACAGCCTTGGTTCTGCTGCTGCTGCTGCTAACACAGTTCTGGTTTTAAAAATTATCTCTGTTAAAGCTTTTGCAAGAGTTTAAAAAATATTACAGACTTTTACGTGAGCTGTAACAGGCATTTAGGAAAGCATTAAATAATTCCTAGCAGCAGATGAGGGGAACAGGAAAATCCCCTATCTTCTTCCTACACATCCTTGCTTTTCATAATGGATGTGCTGACAGCATAAACTGTTGATGTGCTTTGCCTTAACTTGTTTTTCATTCTTTGAAAGTTTTCTTTAGTTGTTGAGCTCTGTGTTTTAACTACTTAGTGTTCTGATGCCCTGATTGATGTTCACGGTGTATCGTGGTTCTCTAGCTGTCCTGTCCTATAAGAATATTGAATTTAATTCTGTAAAAATAATTAGTATTTAAATTTTTTTAATCTGAAGGAAAGATGATACGTTCTTCTTTGAAAAGTTTATTAAAATAATAGGGAAGTCTACAAATTAGCAATTAAAAATTAGATCTATTTTTGTGTGTGTATATATGTGTATATAGTATTGTAAAACATTTGGACCATACTATGCATATTTCTGCATACTTGTGTACTGTATATTTTCCTGGTACTTTAGACGTAAAAGGTGAGGTCAGACTAATTTAGTCATTGATTTCTCTACACAGGCTAATTGAACAAGCCCCAATTCAAATGGGAGAAGAGTCAATTAGATGGGCAAAATTGGTCATACCTTTAGTGGTTCATTCGGCCCAAAAGGTACATTTACGGGGAGCCACTGCTCTAGAGATGGGAATGCCGTTGTTACTTCAGAAACAACAAGAAATAGCATCTATCACAGAGCAGCTTATGACTACCGTAAGTAATACTTTAAGGATTTTTTGGATACTGCATTGTAAGGTTTTGCACCAAGCTGAGGGCTCATATTGGTGTAATTGCTCTATGATCTAGGAAGTTCCTCTTTGAATTAATACAAAGAATTGTTTAAGTTAATGTAGTCACACTGATCCTATATTACAGTAAGGAAGGGAGCTGTCTATCAGTGTTATTACAATCCAGGCATTTTACCCCATCCCCAACGAATGGTGATTGCAAGAAATTGCATTTTTGGAAAAGGGAGAACATTAACTGATGCATCGCTATCTGGATTGTTATAGCATAATCCTAGTAGATACAAATTTAATGCACACAAGTGCATCTAGTGTGTACAGTTTCCTAAAGTTATTGCCCCAGGTTTTAGGTTTTTCAACCTTTCTCATAACATATTTATTGAGCACCTGTTATATACTGGACATTGTTTTAAGTACTGTGTGTATAGCAGTGAACAAAAGCAACTTGTGGAGCTTATTTTCTAGTGGGAGAGATAATAAAGTATATAGTATAATTAGTAAAGAGCATTAATGGAAAACAGCAAGGACTGGATGGAAAGTGCCATCGGAGAGGAAGGGTGGTCAGGGAAGGAAAAAGAATAGGTTATTTGAAAGGTGATTTGAAGGCGATATAGGAGTTAGCTACCTGAATAATATGCAGTAAGCTCATTTGAGGCAGGAGGAACCATGAGCGCAAAAGGCCTTGCTCTGATATGAGTACTTGGTTGTGTTCAGCGAACACTGGGCAGTAGGATAGAGCGATGAGGATGAGAGGAGGAGGAGTTGATACCAGAAACAGGGCCAAATCACATAGGACCTCGGGGGCCATTGTAAGGCATTTGGTTTTTACTCTGGGTTATATTGAAAACCGTATTTGAAGCTTTTGAGTCTACGAGTGATATGCTTACTTACTTTGGTTTTAAAGGGATCGCTTTGTCTGCGTTGAGGAAAAAAACCTCTACGTAGGAGCAGAGAGACTAGTTGGGAGACGTTACAGTAATCCAGGAGGTGGTGGAGACGTCCAGATTCTAAAACCTGGGGTTTTGTTTATTTTTTAAAATTCAGGATGCCTCATGGTAAGGTTTGGAGTCTAAAGGTGACGCCAGTGTCTTTGTAAGTTTTTTTATTGTTAAGTTTATTTCTTAAGAGAGTATACAGTCACCCCTTGAACAAGTTGAGTTTAATCCTTGTATAATTCATAGTTGGCCCTCTGTAATCGTGGTTCCTCTGCATCCTTGAATTCAACCAACCACGGACTGTGCAGTACTGTAGTATTTACTACTGAAAAATATCTGAGTATAAGTAGAACGCACAGTTAAAATTCACATTGTCCAGGGGTCCACTGTATAAAATCTTAATAAATTTGAACTTAAATTTTCTCAGATGTGTTACCCATGAAGCTATTAATTTTTAAAGTTAGAGTGAGTGGTTAAAGCATTATCATTTGAACTCTAATGATAAGCAAGCTGAAGTTTTTAGGGGAAAGTATATTGGTAGGGAAAAAAACTGTTGATGGATGGAAGAATGGCCAGATACGTGATAAGACAAACATAGTAAAATGTTAGTGGTATTTATACTTGGATATTTACTGTAAAATTCTATCAGCTTTGCTATATATGTGAAAGTTTTCCTGATAAAATACTGGGAAAAGTTACTTGGCTGAGAAGATCAATTTTTTTTTTTTTTGGCGGTACGCGGGCCTCTCACTGTTGTGGCCTCTCCCGTTGCGGAGCACAGGCTCCGGACGTGCAGGCTCAGCGGCCATGGCTCACGGGCCCAGCTGCTCCGCCGCATGTGGGATCCTCCCGTACCGGGGCCACGAACCCGCGTCCCCTGCATCGGCAGGCGGACTCTCAACCACTGCACCACCAGGGAAGCCCTAGAAGATCAATTTAATACTGCATTCTTTTTCTTTCCAAGAGTCTTTGGTAAATATTTTTGCTTTGGTTTTTAGAAATTACTTTCGGAACTCCAGAAGCTATTTATGAGTAAAAATGAGACTTACGTGTTAAAATTATGGCCTTTGTTTGTCAAACTTCTTGGGAAGGTAAGTACACAGTTAATGAACAGTTTTTACATGCCAGACCCTTTAATTTCTTAACTTTCCATAGTACAGTTGATCCTCATTATTCATGCATGCCGTATATAAAAATTACTAAAATTTGTTAACTCAACATCAGTATTTGTGCTGCTTTTGCAGTCAATTGTAGGCATGTGTAGTGGCAAAATATTTGAGTCCTACAGCATGCATGTTCCCACCTGAGGTTGAGCAAGGTTACATTCTGCCTTTTTGCTTCAATTCTTAATGTCCTTTAAACAAATGTCCATTTCATGATCCATTTAATGCCACATTTTTCACGTTTCATGCTTTTTCTTGGTGATTTCAGTTTTAAATGGCCCCAAAATGTAGTGCTGAAGTGCTGTCTGGTTGCTAAGCAGCGGAAGGCTATGATGTGCCTTAGGGGGGAAATACATGTGCTAGATAGACTGTTCAGGCGTGAGTTACAGTGCTGTCCGCTGTGAGTTCAATGTTAGTGAATCAACAAGATGTCTTTAATCCAAAACAAACAAAAAACAAGGTTGTGTGTCAAATGGTTGATGAAAATGTGATCAGAGGCTTGCAGGAACCTAACCCTGCATTTTCCCTACAAGCCATGGTTCAGTATTTTCTAATACAGTGTCAAGGCAACTTTATAGAACATAACTGTGGTGAATAATGAGAATCAACTGTATGTTCTATCTTTAAGCCAGGTTTTTTTGAGGGGGTGGAGTTGTGATTTTCTTTATTGTGGTAAATAAACATAACATAATATTTATCATAACCATCCTAAGTATACAGTTCAGTGGCGCTAAAAGCATTTACAGTTGTGTAAACATCACCAGTGTCTACACCCAGAACTTTTTCATCATCCCCAACAAAAACTATACATGTTACATAAACATTGACTCCCTCTGCCCCTCCCTCTGCAGCCCCTCGTAACCTCCATTCTGCTTTTTCTCTGGATTTGCTAATTCATAAATTTTGATCTTTGATCCATTTCGAGTTTATTTTAGTATATGGTGTAAGGCAAGGGTCCAGCTTCATTTTTTTGCATGTGAATACTCAATTTTCCAAACACCATTTGTTAAAAAGACTTTTGTTGAGTGGTCTTTGCGCTGTTGTTGAAAATCAGTTGACAGTGTATGTGAGAGTATTTTGGGGATCTCTATTCCATTGGTCTGTTAATGTTTCTCCTTATGCCATTACCATGTGCTTTAATTACTGTACTGTTGCAGTAGGTTTGGAAGTCAAGGAAGTGAGTCTTCCAACTTTATAATTTTTTTTTTACAATTGTTTTGGCTATTTGGGGCTCTTTGCAATTCCATAATGAATTTTTGAAGATCAGCTTTTATTTTTCAGTGAAAAAGGCCTTTGGAATTTTGATAGAGATTGTGTGGAATTTGTAGATTGCTTTGGGGGTAGTATTGACATTTTAATGATATTAAATCTTCCTATTCATGAACACCGGATGGTTTTCCATTTATTTAGGCCTTTTCAAATATACTTTGTAGGTTTTAGTTTAAAAGTCTTTCACCTCTGATTAGATTTATTTCTAAGTGTTTAATTATTTTAGGTGCTATTGTAAATGGAATTGCTTTCCTGATTTCCTTTTTAGATCATTCATTGCTGTTGTATAGAACCACAACTGATTTTTGTGTGTTGGTCTTGTACTCTGCAACATTGCTGAAATGATTTTATTGGCTCTAGTAGCTTTCTTGTGGATTTTTGTGAATTTCTAAGCCAGCTTTTTTTGTTACATTTATATTCTGTTCAGATTATGTGTGGACTATAGTCACTTATGACAAAGTTCTTTTTGTGTATTTTTTCTTGGGATGCATTGTTTACTTGTCATTTATCCATCTTTTACTTAACTGTTTTTCCTGCCTGTTTCAGTGTATTTGAAAAGATTATTAGTTTGAGTTTCTTATTTTTCTTTAATATTCAGATTTTTTCATATGAATACTTTTTTTTAATATGTTGGTAAAATTTTGGATTTATCACATTTCTGATATTCTCTGACGTTTTAGAAATATGTATTATGCATTACCTATTTCATGGAGCTTTATATTTTGTGATGCAGAATTTTGAATATGCATACAAAATTCAGTACTTTAAAAAGTTTTAAATTCCTTAGATTTTACATAGTTAACACTGGGTGAGTTAGATAAATGAATGATGATAGTGCCTATATATTGTTTCAGGCAGGTAAGTAACTTCTTAATGATTCTTCCTTTTTAGACCTTGCATCGAAGTGGGAGTTTCATCAATTCTCTATTACAGCTAGAAGAACTGGGATTTCGTAGTGGAGCACCCATGATTAAAAAAATAGCTTTTATTGCTTGGAAGAGTTTAATAGATAATTTTGCTTTAAATCCAGGTAAGTAATACAAAAAATTCGATTTTTTATGGCTTAAGATGAAAAACAAAGCTTTTCTGATATTTTGGGGGGGGGCTTTATATCAAATATTTACCTATCATTGAATATTAGGGGAATAAATTTGTAGCTAAAAGTAGAATTCAAAGGCCAGGCATTCTTGAAAATCACAGATAGAAAGTTTATTTTACACTATTTCAAAAACTGAACAAAGTGACAGATGCTGTTTGTGGCTTTCTTAGTGAATTCCAGCACTTAGTTAAGCATTTTACATACTTCTCATTTAATCATCACAGTAGACCTTAGATGGTAAGCATTATCGATATTTTCGGAAGATTAAGTAGTTCATCAAAGGTCACACAGCCAATAGATGATAGCAAACAATTTTCATTGCTATGGAATCAAAGTATCAGAGACTGAGGAACTTTTTTTCAGGATCTTTAGAACAGCACCTAACATTAATATGTAGAAGTGATTCCATTTGATGTACCTTACCCTTATCTTTTTATTGTTCACTGGAGGTGCTTAATATATATATGTGCGAAAGTATTTCGCCCCAAAGCGGGTCAGTGTAAGTACCTACTTAACTGGGTAGTTAATCTTAGGTATAATTGATAGTTTACAAGATCTGCTAAATAATGTTGACTTCATCCTATGTTTTCCCTTGCCAAAGACCATTAATCCCTTTTAAAATGTGTTTTGTAAATAACTATTTGCATTAACTGCAACTACTTTTATTGAAAATATTGCCAGACACAGATTTTAATTGGAAATGTCACCTTTTTTTGGTTATTGTTTATGAACCTCAGTGTGAGGTATCCAGGATTAAATCTGGTGGAATTATGTATAGTTGTGTTAAAGCGTAAAATAGGAGTGACTTAAAGAAGATAAATAAAATGCTGTCTCATTTGAAATAAGTCAAGAGCTAGAGAGTCTATGACTGGTATTATGGATCCAGGAAGTCATTAAGGAATCAGATGCCTGTCTTTTTCTGTTGTCATCTTCAGTATGCCTTAATTGCAGACTACAGGAAGGAGGGGAAGGCAGAATGGGCAAAAATGAGCTTCTTCGCAGCTGGGTCAGCCATCTGTAAACAACACATCAGAAATTCCATGTACAGTACCACTTAAAAATCTCATCGGGAGAATGGCTAAATGGGAAACTAGATAAAGTAGTCAAAGAGTAGATACCCATCACTGTTCTGAGTGAAAGCAGATCTTGTAACTAAAAGAGAATGGAGTATTGCACAGCAGTTGTTGGTATTCTCCTCCTCTCATAGATAGGAGTTCAGAAAGGATTAGAGGATTTGTTTCCACAGTGGTCTGACTTCATTTTCTTCTTAGAAAAATGTTAATTGAAAGCCGAATGGCAGAATACTTGTAAGAAACATTGATCAATGTTATTCCACCAAATACATGACTTGACAGATGCTTCACAATCCTTTTTAAGTCTTTTTGATAAGTTGATTGAGCACAGACTATTATTTTATATATCCTCCCGTCACTGATATAGTAACACTTCTGGTATAAATATTTTGCTTAAAGTGTATTTAGTGTTTGTGTGGAATTTAAGCAATCTGATTATAGCTAGCTATAGCTAATGTAGAGTAGAACTAAATCTAAATGAATATTTAGATTTCCAAAATCTCATTAATTGCACCAGCAGTTAAAGTGTTTGATAATGATAAAATAAATTACTGGTAAATTTTTAAAATGACAACTTTTTTTGAGGTAAAAATATACCTCTATTTTTTAATCTGTAAAATGGGGATAATGAGAATACTAAAGCAGCTTAGAAAGAGTTTCTCAACATTTTAGCATATTAGGCTGGACAGTTTGTTGTGGAGAACTGCCCTGTGTGTTAGAGGAAGTTTAGCAGCATCCCTGGATGCAGCCCACTAGATACCAGTAGCAGTCTCCGTATCCCTGCCTCTCAGTTGTAACCAGAAATATTGCAGACATTGCTAAATGGTGGAAAAATCACCCGTGGCACACAGTATCTAATAAATATTAGTTATTATTTTTTAAAATAAGCCTTAAGTATTGTGACCTGGTTGTACTAAAGTTTGTCAAGATGAAAATTTTGGGTAGAACAGGAACAGCTGGTAATTAAAAAAAAATTTGTTTTTAAATCTATTCTCTTGCTATAGTAGGCTGTTGCATACTATCATTCTTAAAGTTTAATCTTTACCTCTTTATTGTTTTTACCTGGGTGCTAATTTTTTTTTTTTTTTTTTTTTTTGAAATACTATGTAGTGCAAAAAGACTGAAGTTGTTAATGCAGCCTTTGAGTTCTATCCATGTGAGAACAGAAACTCTAGCGCTGACAAAACTAGAAGTCTGGTGGTATTTATTGATGAGACTAGGACCTCATCTTCCTGCTAATTTTGAACAGGTAACATTAAAGTGTTGATTATAATACTTGATGTGTTTTTTTTAATTAACGTGTTCTTAGATTTTTACCAATCTAATCTTTCAGTGCTGTTTTTGCTGTGTTAGCAGAGCACGTTGTATAAAAGATGTTTTCACCCAGACACAGAACTTGAGTTCATTTTCCTCAAAGGATATTCTCCAGTCGTCTGAAATGGACCATCTAAAACCTTTTTATTCAGTAACACTCAAATATTTTTACTCTAGAGGCATCATGAAAGATTTTTTTTTAAGGAATTGCATGTGACTTAGAATATAATTGAGAGTAGAGTCAGCATTACTGAAATAGAAATCATGTGCTACACAGAGTTGGATCAATTCTAATTTTTTGTATCTCCTTTTTCTAGGCTGCATAGTGATAACCAATCATTTAATCCCATTGTAGCTTTTCATTACTGTTACATGTGAGTTTTACAGATTCCTTTAGATTTTGATATCCTTGCTACATTTAAATATGAAAGCTTAATCTTATTTTTAAGTAAAAAAAAGGGTAGACCTGATAGCTCCTTTTATCTTTTTTTTGATTTATTTTTTATTGAAGTATAGTCGATTTACATGTTGTATTAGTTTCTGGTGTACAGCAAAGTAATTCAGTTATATACATATATATTCTTTTTCATATTTTCCATTATTTTTTAGTACAGGATATTGAATGTAGTTCCTTGTGCTATACAGTAGGACCTTGTTGTTTATCCTTTCTATATATAATAGTTTGCATCTGCTAATCCCAAACTCCCATTCTTGTTGTCTTTTTGTTTTGTTTATGGTTTCCTTTATGGTACAGAAGCTTGTAAGTTTGATTAGCTTCCATTCGTTTATTTTTGCTTTTATTTCTGTTGCCTTGGGAGACTGACCTAAGAAAATATTGCTACAATTTATGTCAGAGAATGTTTTGCCTATGTTCTCTTCTAGGAGTTTTATGGTGTCATGTCTTGTATGTAAGTCTTTATTTTGAGTTTATTTTTGTGTATGGTGTGAGGGAGTGTTGTAACTTCATTGATTTACCTGTGGCTGTCCAACTTTTCCAACACCACTTGCTGAAGAGACTATCTTTTCTCCATTGTATATTCTTGACTCCTTTGTCGAAGATTAATTGACCATAAGTGTGGGTTTATTTCTGGACTCTGTATTCTGTTCCATTGATCTATATGTCTTTTTTTGTGCCAATACCATGCTGTTTTGATAACTTTGTAGCTTTGTAGTATAGTCTGAAGTCTGGGAGGGTTATGCCTCCTGCTTTGTTCTTTTTCCTCAGGATTGCTTTGGCAATTCTAGGTCTTTTATGGTTCCATATAAATTTTAAGATTGTAGTTCTGTAAAAAATGCCATGGGTAATTTAATAGGGATCCCACTAAATCTGTAGATTGCTTTGGGTAGTATGGCCACTTTAACAATATTCTTTCAATCCAAGAACATGGGATATCTTTCCATTTCTTTAAATCATCATTAATGTTTTGTAGCTCTTGGCATATAGGACTTTTACCTCCTTGGTCAGGTTTATTCCTAGGTTTTTGGGGTTTTTTTTAACTTTTTATTTTATATTGGAGTATAGTTGATTAACAATGTTGTGATAGTTTCAGGTGTACAGCAAGTATTTTATTTTTTGATGTGATTTTAAAAGGTTTTTTTTTTTTTTTTTACTTTCTGATGTTTCAATGTTAAAGAAATGTAACAGATTTCTGTATGTCGTTCTTTGTATCCTGCATACCTTGCTGTTTATCAGTTCTTCCTCAAGTATTCTTGGATTTTTTTTTTAGCAAGTTCTCTTTAAATTTTTAATTGCTTAATACATTAAAGTTTTTAAACTTGATAGAGCATGAACTGATTAAAATTGGACATTGATTGTAACTTGTAACTGGGGTCATAATTTTTTCAAATTCTACCATTTTAAGTTCCTAGTAGGCTGATCTTACCCAGTTGTCCCACCCATTCCTTGGCATAATCTACTCATTGGCTACATTTGACAGGTATTGGAATGATCTTAGAAATAAGCTTGGAGTTGTCTTAGTTCATATTTTCTTAAGGTGTTTTTTAAAATGTTTAAAATGGTCTGTCTACCAATAGCATTAAAACTCATGTAGATGTTATTTGTAAAAGCTGTAAAAGCTATTTATGTGTATAATTTTCCATCTGGAATGTAGAGTTGAAATTTATAGATAGTACATATTTAGGGCAAATATATTTGTAATAAAAATTTTCACTTTTCCAAGTTTCAGTTTTTACCCTGTGCATCAAAAAGGCCAATAGAATTTCAATATATCAAAACAATTGAGATTGCTTCTTAAGGATATTTAACTGTATTATGCAAGACTTTTTTTTTTTTTTGTGGTATGCGGGCCTCTCACTGTTGCAGCCTCTCCTGTTGCGGAGAACAGGCTCCGGACGCGCAGGCCCAGCAGCCATGGCTCACGGGCCCAGCCACTCTGCGGCATGTGGGATCTTCCCGGACCGGGGCACGAACCCGTGTCCCCTGCATCGGCAGGCGGACTCTCAACCACTGCGCCACCAGGGAAGCCCCTATGCAAGACTTTAAAAAAATAGGACAGTTGTACATATTTACAGATTCAGTTCCCTCTATCTCTCTCTCTTTTTAAACCCCAATAGGTCTGTGTGCCTCTGATTCAAAGCACAATAAGCATTGATGTTAATGCTTCGCCTCAAGGCAGTTCATCTCGTGTAGCTACTTCTCCAGCTTTAAATCCTGCGACCCCTGTACACAAAGGTAAGAGGTAGATCTACTTGGAGTTTTTTTCCTTTATTTTTACAAAAAGCCTTTGAATCAAGTCTTTGCTCCATGTAATTCACATAATTTTGGCTGCCTTATCACAAAATTGTTTTGTTTGTTTTCTCTATGTGTTACTGTGTACTGCTGTCATTGCATTGTAGTTGGATAAGATCAACTTTTTTCCACTACATTATGTGAAGTGCATTACAGACTCTTAACGTTTGTTTCAGAATTAGGATATTAGAGTTATAATTTAAAATATCAGATCTTAACAGATGTAAGGAATGTAGCTTAGTATGTATATCAGTGAAAGAAAATTATTTGCTATTCCTTTTTTTTTTTTTTTTTTTTTGTGGTACGCGGGCCTCTCACCATTGTGGCCTCTCCCGTTGCGGAGCACAGGCTCCGGACACGCAGGCTCAGCGGCCATGGCTCACGGGCCCAGCCGCTCTGCGGCATGTGGGATCTTCCCAGACCGGGGCACAAACCTGTGTCCCCTGCATCGGCAGGCGGACTCTCAACCACTGCGCCACCAGGGAAGCCCTGCTGTTCCTATTTTACGTTAACTATTCTGAGTCAAATTCTTATATTTCAAGTTGTAGGAATGCCTGCATATTAATGTTAAGGTATGGATTAATGTCTGAGAATTCATTTAAATGGTGTGTGACACTAGTCTTGTTCTTAACCTAGTAAGATTAGTATTTAATTAGGAACTCTGTTGTGGGCTTTAAACAAAAACTCTTCAACTTTTATTGAAAAACAAATTACTTACTTTTAAAAGTACATTGCATTGAAATGAAGTAAACAAAATATATTTATTTGGGTAACTAATTTAATCATACATAACTTAGCAATTTTGTTTGTTTGTTTAAAGGTGCTTCTCCATATGGAACTCCCCGGATGAACTTGAGTTCAAATTTTGGTGGAATGGCCACAATCCCCTCTATACAAGTTTTGGGGCTTGAAATGTTGCTTCACTTTTTGTTGGGTCCAGAAGTCTTGAGTTTTGCTAAGCAAAACAAACTTATGCTGAGCTTAGGTATTTAATTGTTTTAAAAATCATTTCAATTACTAACACAGTTCAGAACACTATACTTTGGGGTGAGGAAAGAGATTTTATAAATCTTTTTTGTAAATTTATTTATTTATTTTTGGCTGCGTTCGGTCTTCATTGCTGCGTGTGGGTTTTCTCTAGTTACGGCGAGCAGGGCTACTCTTCCTTGTGGTGCGCGGGCTGCTCATTGCGGTGGCTTCCATTGTTGCGGAGCATGGGCTCTAGGCACGCGGGCTTCAGTAGTTGTGGCTGAGCGCGGGCTTATTTGCTCTGCGGCATGTGGGATCTTCTGGGACCAGGGCTCGAACCCATGTCCCCTGCATCGGCAGGCAGATTCTTAACCACTGCGCCACCAGGGAAGTCCCTAAATCTTTTTCATAGAAAACATATCAGACCACCTAACATTTTACATCGAGAAATTTATTTCATAAAGCTTTGGTTTTGCATAATTGTCTTTTTTTCTCTTTTAGAGCGACTTGAACATCCGTTAATCAGCAGCTCTTCTTTTTTTTCCAAACATGCAAATACATTTATCACTGCTGTTCGTGATAGCTTTGTTGCAATTAGAAAAGATGCTTCTGGTAAATATTTAAGAGAAGATTTTTATTATTTAAACCTGTGTTTAAAAAGAAAAAATAGTAAATATATAGTGACACCTGTTTCCAGATTGTGCTGCAGGAGTTTTACATATAATTCATTGAATCCTCACAGCAACCTTCTGTGTTAGCTTATTTTGCAGATAAGGGATTGTGTTGTACTGAGAAGTAAATAACTTGTGCAAAGTTACATAGTAAGTGATGGAGCTATGATTCATACCTAGGCTCTGTGATTTTAGTATCTACACCTAAACTCCTGTGTTCTAAAGCCTATCAAGTAATGATGACAGGTTTTAAAAATTAAATAGTTTTCTATTGTACTGGTTGGAAAATTTTTTTCTAGTGGTTTTCAGGTATCCTTCTCAGTCTTTAATCCTTGTCTCAAAAGTGAAAGGTTTTCAATACAGAAAATACAGTCAATGAAAAAAAAGAATTACCCTGAGTATTTTAACAGTCCTTTTGAAAAATATTTCTTTCTTTAAACAAAAATGAGGTGAATAAGTATATTGTAAACTGATTACAAGGTTGACTATTACAAGGAGAATTATATTTTAAATTTTTAAGTATTGCTCAATTTATTTCTGTGGTATAAGCTTGAAAGGGAGAGCTTTTGTAGTCATATCTGTTTCATTCTAAAGTACCTTTTATTTTGTTTGGCAGATGCAATTGTCAATGCTATTTGGAAGGAGCTAGTTAGCTTGGTGAAGTCAGTTATTGAATCTGGTAAGCACTATAATGATCAAACGATATTTATAGCACTCAGTGAATTGTTTGGCTTTCATATATAAAATTAATTTTAAAATCATTTTTTGAAGTATCTTATCTTCCGGACTTTACCTTTAAACAAAGTACTTTATTTAGTAAGAAAAAACAAAAAAATTACTTTTTAATAGCTCTCTGAGTATATATTTTTACCCCTGAAAAGACAGTATTTTCACCCCTAAAAATACATGTTTAGAACTGTACCCCTCCTCTTTCTTTTTGATAGGTAACAAAAAAGAGAGACCAGGTTCTGAAGTTTTGACTCTTCTATTAAAATCTTTGGAAAGCATAGTGAAGTCAGAAGTATTTCCTGTATTGAAAACACTGGTAAGTATAAGACCTATATGTGCTGGAATTTTAAAACCATAGTCTGAAATTGAATTTTATATTGAAGGTACTACCACAGATCAGGATTTGGGAAGATATTTTATATCAAGTACTTATCAGCCATTTGGCCCTGTAATAAATGCTGTTCCATTGACTAAATAGAGTCATTTGAAACCTTCTTAATAAAGTAAATGATGACAGTGGCAACTACAGAAATCTTCCAGTGTGATAGGAAAAGGAATAGGCCATACAGAGAAAATGGGATAAGGGGCATGAAACTTGAACTGAAGAAACTCGGATGAACACTAATTTTGTGACAAGATTGCTGAGTTCCACTGATTGTTAGTATGTACATTTAAAAAAATATCTGGTAATAATCTTGGAGAGCTTTTGCATTTTAAATATGTCCTACATAGTAGAGAGGAAAAAAATGAATTGGGTATACTTTTTGTAATAGTGAGTTTCCCAAAATAAACTGCAGATGGAACAAACCACACCCGTAGGTAGATTCTGAGTGATTCCTTTATGTGCCATGACAACCATGTCTACTGTGGCAGTAGAGGATAGTGGTTAATAGCAAGGGCTCTGGTACAGACTGGGTTGAACCTCAGCCCAGCTATTAACTGCATGAACTTAGGCACTGTCTACTCTCTTGTCTTTGTATAAAGAAGAGATATAGTAGTAGTTCATAATTAAATGAGTTGATAAATACAGAGCATTATGGGGCTGGAACAAAATAAATGTGTCAATGAATGCTAATTATTATTGTCCAAATGAGAATATGTGAAAGCTTATTTTCACCAACAGTTACTTTTGTCATGTTATTCACTTAGTTATATAATTCAGGTTAATACCAGTATAATAATATTTTTGGATGGCAGTTTGGTAATCTCTGTCACATTTGAGAGGCGTGTCTTAGATACAGCTTCTAGTTAGCAGTTCTTTGAAATACTTGCTTCTGGCACTATTGAGTACATAATTGATTGCAGAATTTCTTTTTGTAGTATAAAAAATGAAAATAGCCTCAAGGACCATTAATTTTTAAAAAGTTTGAACAAACTGCACATTTGTTTATCAGTTAAGAATGTGTGTACATAGACTGATGTGAAAACTCTGTAACACAGTCAGGTGAAGAAAATTAGTTCCAGAGTATCTTTTTTTTTTTTTTTTTCTTGCGTTATGCGGGCCTCTCACTGTTGTGGCCTCTCCCATTTGCGGAGCACAGGCTCCGGACGCGCAGGCTCAGTGGCCATGGCTCACGGGCCCAGCCGCTCCGCGGCATGTGGGATCTTCCCGAAACGGGGCACGAACCCGCGTCTCCTGCATCGGCAGGCGGACTCTCAAGCACTGCGCCACCAGGGAAGCCCGAGTTCCAGAGTATCTTACAGTACAATATCATTAATGGTATAAAACAGGTATAAGACAGCTAGCCTAGGAAGTTATGTTTCTCTCTGTACTTACATATATGGAAATTTAGGTCTAGAAAATAAACTCCAAACTGGTAACATTGATTATTCCTGGAGATAATAAAGGACTTCATCATTTTATTTATATTTCTGTATTTGAACATTTTAAGCTAATGAGAATGTGTTTACATTAATGAACAAACATTACTTGTAATAAATTGTTAAAAATATAGTTAATACTATAAGAATTTTACTAAGGTACTACTTTTATGGCTAATGTACGGTAAAACCTTTTGTCTTTCTTAGGTTCTCATGGAAATTACAATTAAAGGACTTCCTCAGAAAGTATTAGGTTCTCCAGCATATCAGGTTGCTAATATGGATATTCTTAATGCAAGTATCTTAAATGTAATGATACTGAATTAGCTAATAAAAAGATCCATGGTAATTTTTTTTTCATAAGGTAGTGAAACTTAGATTGAAAAGTTCCAAGAGAATTGAATTTGAATACGCTGATTGTGTTAAAGGAAAAAATGATAGACAAAGTACAGGCGTACCTCAGAGATACTGCAGGTTCAGTTCCAGACCAGTGCCAAGAAAGTGAATATCACAGTAAAGAAAGTCACATGAAATTTTTCGTTTCCCAATGCATGTGAAAGTTAATGTTTACACTATACTGTAGTCTGTTAAGTGTGAGTAAATAGCATTATTCCTTAAAAAAAATATATATATATATATATATACCTTAATTTAAAAGTACTTTATTGCTAAACAGATGCTTCCCATCATCTGAGCCTTCAGTGAGTCATCTTTTTACTGCTGGAGTGTCTTGTCTCCATATTGACGGCTGCTGACTGATCAAGGTGGTGGTTGCTGAAAGCTGGGGTGGCTGTGGGAATTTCTTAAAATAAGACAACAGTGACGTTTGCTGTGATTGATTCTTCCTTTCACAAATGATTTCTCTGTAGCATGTAATGCTGTTGGATAGCGTTTTACCCACAGTAGAACTTCTTTCAGATTAGTTAACCCTCTTCAAACCCTACTGCTGCTTTATCAACTAAGTTTATGTAATATTCTAAATCCTGTTGTCACTTCAGCAGTCTTCAACATCTTCACCAGGAGTAGATTCCATCTTAAGAAACCACTTTCTTAGCTTATCCATAAGAAGCAACTCCACATCTGTTGAAGTTTTATCATAAGATTGCAGCAATTCTTTCACATCTTCAGGCTCCAATCCTAATTCTAGTTCTTTGCAGTTTCTGCCACATCTGTAGTTATTTCCTCCACTGAAGTCTTAAACCCCTCTAAGTCATTCAGGAGGGTTGGAATCAACTTCTTCCAAACTCCTGTTTATGTTGATATTTTGACCTCTTCCCATGAATCATGAATGTTCTTCACGGCATCTAGAATGATGAGTCCTTTCCATAAGGTTTTCAGTTTACTTTGCCCAGGTCTATCAGAGGAATCACTCTTTATGGCAACTATAACCTTACGAAATGTATTTCTGAAAAAGGCTTGGAAGTCGAAATTGCTCCTTGATCTGCAGAATGGATGTTGTGTTAGCAGACATGAAAACAACATTAGTCTCATTGTACATCTTTGTCAGAGTGCTTGGGTGTCCAGGTGCATCATCAATGGGCAGTAATATTTTGAAAGGATTCTCTTTTTTTTTCCTGAGGAGTAGATCTCAACAGTGGGCTTAAAATACTCAGTAAACCATGTTGGGAACAGATGAGCTGTCATCCAGGGTTTGTTCCATTTATATAGAGCACAGGCAGAGTGGATTTAGCATGATTCTGAAGGGCCCTAGTATTTTTGGGATGGTAAATGGCCTTGGCTTCAACTTAGAATCACTAGCTGCATTAGCCCCTCATAAAAGGCAGCCTGTCATTTGAAGCTTTGAAGCAGACATTGACTTTTCCTCTCTAGCTGTGAAAGTCCTATATGGCTGCTGCTTCCAATATGAGGCTGTTTTATCAACAGGTAGAAAATCTGTTGTTTAGGGTAACCACCATCATTATTAATTAAATAGCTAGGTCTTCTGTATAACTTGATGCAGCTTCTGTGTGAGCACTTGCTGCTTCACCTTGCACTTTGATGTTATGGAGAGGGCTATTTCCTTATATCTCGTGAACCAACCTCTGCTGGCTTCACACTTTTCTTCTGCAGCTTCCTCACCTCTCAGCCTTCACGGAATTGAGGAGTTAGGACCTTGTTGTGGATTAGGCTTTGGCTTAAGGGAATGTTGTAGCTGGTTTGATCTATCTAGACCACTAAAACGTTCTCCATATCAGCAGTAAGGCTGTTTTGCTTTCTTACTATTACTTGTGTTCACCGAAGTAGCGCTTTTCATTTCCTTCAATAACTTTTCCTTTGCGTTCACAACTTCGCTAACTTGCACAAGAGGCCTAGCTTTTGGCCTTTCTGACATGCCTTCCCTATTAAGCTTAATTATTTCTAGCTTTTGATTGAAAGTGAGAGACGTGCAACTCTTCCTTTTGCTTAAACATTTAGAGGCCATTGTAGTGTTATTAATTAGTCTAAATTCAATATTGTGTCCAAGGGAATGGGGAGGCCAGAGGAGGTGGAGAGAGACAGGATAATGGCTGGTTAGTGGAGCAGTCAGGACACATAATGTTAAGTTTGAAAAATCGTGAGAATTACCAAAATGTGTCAAAGACATGAAGTGAACAACTGCTGTTAGAAAAATGGTGCCAGTAGACTTACTTGGTTGACATAGGGTTGTCACAAACCTTCAATATGTAAAAAATGCCATATCTGCAAAGCACAATAAAACAAGGTACACTCGTTATAATTAATGTGAAGAATTAAGTATGGCACTATTAATGGAACTATTTTCCTGGATTAAACAAAGGGTTCTAGAAGGAAAGTTTTCTCTTTGCTTTTATATAATAATAGTTTTGGTTACTGTTATAAATTTTGGAAGCTTAGTAGCATTGGGTTACTTATAGTGAAATATATTTAATACCTTCTGGATGTAGGTATTGTTGATCTACCAAGTTTTAAGTCAACATTTTTTTTATATCTGGAATCTCTCTGTTCTTTAATTGCTCACATAGATGTAACAGCTATGATCAAAATATAAAGAGCTTGCTTTTTGTGTGTAGTTTGTGGAAGTACATTTGCTATCATTTTTGTAATTTCCTAAGTAATTTCGAAAGTTAAATTTCTCAAGCTTAAAACGGTCATATTTCACATAATTGATTGTAGAAAACAAGTATAACAAGAAGAGTATACTGTTTGTAACAGGAAGATTGATTGTCATCTCCCATCTTTTTTCAGGGGACTCCTGCTTTGTTCTTAATTCAGTTAATTTTCAATAATAATCTGTTGGCATGTGGTGTAGAAGATGAAAGGTAATTTTAAACTATTTTGTTTATCTTGGAAAGTTTGTCATGTGATGAATGATTCTTTTGACTTACTCTAAATTTTTTAAAAATGAAAAAAATCAAAATAAGAGTTGGGATTCTTTTTTTGTCAGTTACTTTTATAACCTTGCTATAATGTAATTAATGTATTTTCGAAGAACGTACAGTTAATGCGTAGTTGAAAATTTTTTCCTCCAGGTTTTTTCTCAACCTGGAAACACTTGTAGGCTGTGTTCTTTCTGGTCCAACTTCACCGCTAGCTTTCAGTGACTCTGTCTTAAATGTTATTAATCAAAATGCAAAGCAGTTGGAAAACAAGGAGCATCTTTGGAGAATGTGGAGTATTATAGTCACCCCATTAACTGAATTGATAAATCAGGTATGATATAAGCTAGCTGCATGTTTCCCCCAAATTTAATATCTTCCCTTTTTTTCTTCCTTGTTAGAGCAAGAGGTATATGAGTAGAAGTTTGTATTTGAATGGAAGATATTGGATATTTTTTTCTGCAGGATTGGTTAATTTTATACTCTAGATTAGTTGATTTCATCGTGTTTCTGCCTTATTCAAGAAAGTATAACTTAGTGGAGACTAAACAGTCCATTTTCTCCAGTAATTGGAAAGCCAGAGGGCTTACATGATATATACAGATTCCCCTGTTTATATCTTGGATTCTTTCATTTGTACTACAGGGAATAATATGGGTATCTTGACTAGACTGTATATTCTTAGGATCCCATGGTTGATGGGATCTTATGTTGGTGATTACCTCAAAGCTATTATATTGTAGTTCCTAAATCATTAATTGTTGAGAGTTGACTAACCCTGACGTTTAATTACTTTAAAAAGTGGCAATATTGTCAGGGTATGGAGCTCAAGTTCTGTCACTATTAATAGTTCATCAGCTGCTTTATCTGTTCATCAGTCTTTAAATGGAATTATTCTTTGGGAAATAGTCTGTTATAACTCTCAAATGGAGTGAAGACTCCAAAGAATTTTTTATGTGGTTATACATAGCCCTTATTTTAGCTGCTCGAGCCAACACTCCATTAAACATATTCTTCCTGAAGAAAAAAATTTATGTTCCTAAATAATTTCCCACTGTTTAAAGGATGCTAGAGGCCCTTTTTATAAGTCCTTGCTTGAATCTACCTTCTGTGTATAGTAAAAGATTTTGGAGTCACCTTTGGGATTCTTTTTTAGGACTTAAAATCAGTGCGTCGTTTCCCAGGGTTGCTTAAAAAATTACCATGAACTGATGGCTTAAATCAATAGGAATTTACTTTTTTATAGCTCTTGAGGCCAGAATTTCAAAATCAAGGTGTTGGCAGGTTTGGTTTCTTCTGGAGCTCTGAAGGAGAGTGTGTTCCATGCTTCTCTTAGCTTCCAGTAATTCTTGATGTTCCTTGGCTTGTGGATGCATCACTTCAGTCTCAGCCTGCATCTTCACATGGCATTCTTCAAAGTAGCTTCTGTCTATTCAACTTGCCCTTTTGTTATAAGGATGCCAGTTATTGGATTAGGGCCCACCCGAAACCGGCATGACTTCATTATTGCATGATTACATCTGGAAAGACCCTATTTCCAAAGTTTACAGAGGTTAGGAGTTCACCATCTGTTGAACATCTCAACATTGGAGTCACAATTCTACTCACTACACATAGTAAGATGTTACTACTTCGGGCTAGAATTAGATGGTAATTTGTCTAACTTCTTCATTTTTCTTGTTTCAGACCAATGAAGTGAATCAAGGTGATGCCTTAGAACATAATTTTAGTGCCATCTATTGTGCACTGACTTTACCAATAAACCATATTTTTTCAGCACAGAAAATTCCAGTGGTAAGGCAGTTTTACTTGATGAATTTGCATTTTTCTGAAAATATTATGTCACCCTTTATAATGAACCCCTACAGTAATTTTACCTAAAACAAGACTTTCTTATGACCTATAATCAGCTTAGGAGAAAGGAAAGTGGTGAAGGAAGAGAGAAGTTCCTCTTGGCCTTTGATAATTGTTGGTATTGTGGCATTATTACAGTTCTTCAGTTAGAGCTCTATGGAGGTGGGCAAACTCACTACCCTATACTAGTCTCCTCTTTGACACCTTAAATGTTACCGTGTTTTTAAAATGTTAAAGATGTATTCTGTTAGGTGTTTTGATGTGTAGATGTGTTTTCTAAATTTCTTTTTTATTGTTACTAGGCCACCATGAAGACCTTACTTAAAACTTGGTCAAAATTATATAGAGCATTTGCTCGCTGTGCAGCTTTGGTGGCAACTGCAGAGGAGAATTTGTGCTGTGAGGAACTTTCTTCCAAGATAATGTCCAGTTTGGAAGATGAAGGCCTTTCAGTGAGTTTATCCTGATACTGACCTTTTTTGCATGTAAAGGATTCTTTTCAAGTAAATAGAGATAACATTTGTGAACTGTCATTTACTAATGCTTTTAGTTTATAAGTAATGAAGTTAGTGTATAAAACGAGTAACAGCTTTGCAAAAAAGTTTTGTGTCTTTGGACTCTAAGGTCCATGTATCAGGACCATTTAACAGTGATGTGGTTTTACTACTCTGTTGTGTGTCTGTGCCATTCTAGATGAACTGTACAAGGACCTTACTGTCCTGGACCTTGCTTTATCATATCTGTTAGCTCTTTAAAGTCTATCCTCTAGAAGTTTGTAGATCTAAAAATGTAGGTTCCTATTCACTCCTTTCCCTTACTCTATAAAAAGAGCAACTGCTGTCAGCAGTTTGGTATGTATCATTCTAGAATAGACCTCTTTCTTTCTACCCATAAGTTACATATTTATGCTCACATATATACATGAATACAGTGTTCTTGCCAGTTGAAATTTATTTATTACTCTGAAGAATGTTTTTTTCCATCTGAAAAGATAGATTTTCTAGCTCTTAATAGTGGTTACCCCTGCAGAGAAGAGTAGAAGTATTTATAATCTCTTTTTAAAAATATTGGCATAATTCTGATTATGGTATTTTGGTACTATAGTATTTGTCAGAGTGACTTTAAAAATGTAAATCGGATTAAAACACTTCTGTAGCTTTTTGTTGCATTTGGAGTAAAAATCTGAACTGCGTACAACTGCCCTTGAAGCTTGTGCTTCCTTCTTCAAAGAATCTTATTTAATTAGTCTTGTTAATTTCTATCTGAGCATCTTGTTATCAAAATCGTTTGTGTACTTCATTCTGTAACTTGCCCCACACTCCATGAGGTTAGGGACTTTCTGTCTTGTTGATGTATATCCCTGGCTTTTATCTGGCCACCTAGACAGTGAATTTGTTGAAGGCTTTTATAATTGTTAGGGAGAAGCTTGACCCTCAGTTTTCACCTTTAAATTATTGTCTTGGGTAGGCTTACATCTTTGTTCTCTTCTGCAAGAAATGTAGAATCTATCAAGTTTTATAAAATACCCTGTTGGGATTTTGCTTGTCATTGGTTGGTTATATTGCATTTATAGATTAATTTGGAAAAGAATTTACATCTTTATAATGTTGAGTTTTTCTATTAAGGAATATTTATTTAAATCTAAACTTAACCAAGCTTGCTTGATATTTTGGAAGTTTTAAAGCTGTTTTTCAGCTGTTATGTATGGTCTCTTTGCTGCCCATATTTGGTTGCTGCTGGAGTATATGAGATCTGTTGGTAATATGCATTTCCGTATGTTAAACCAAACTTGTGTCCTTGAGAAGGGCACTTGGTCACAGTGAAAATCTTTTAAAACATTGTAGATAAGTGTTTTAACATTTTTTGCGTATACCTTCATTAGTGAGATTGGAGTTCCTCATTGTCCAATTTTTGTATTTTGGGAATAACAGACATGTATGTGACTGATAATTCCTTGTCAAATATGTAACTAGTTACAATTTTTAGGTTTCAGAAAAAAATTTATCAGTTTTGAAGATACTGTTCATTTCTGTAAATTTTTTTTCATTTTTACAAAATATGCATCTAAGACTATTCTTATTTTTATTACTGCTACTGTTAAAAATGCATTGTTTGATACTAATTTTTTTTAAATAATTTTTAAAACATTTATTTATTTTGGCTGCACCAGGTATTAGTTGTGGCATGCGGGAATCTATTAGTTGCAGCATGGTATGCGGGCCTCTTAGTTGTGGCATACGAACTTAGTTTCAGCATGCACGTGGGATCTAGTTCCTCGACCAGGGATCAAAACCAGGCCCCCTGCATTGGGAGCGTGGAGTCTTACTCACTGGACTACAGGGAAGTCCCACTAATTTTTAATTTTTTTGTTATTAACCTCTTTTTTAGTTTGTAAAGTTTTTGGGTTTTCCTCTTGCCTTTAGAATTTAGACATTTCACCATGGTGTGTCTTGAGGCATCTTTTAAACTGTTTTAAGTACTTGGTAGACCCTTTCAATCTAAAGAGCTGTGCCTTCATCTGAGGAAGAGTGCTTAGATCTTCAGGTGTCATCTTCTGTCTGTTACTTTTCTTTCTTTATATCTGTTTGTGTTTTGCTTTATTTTTGGTACTGCTTTCTGGGACCTTGATATTTCTTTTTCCATTCTTTCTCTGTTTAAATGCTGAGGTGTTTTATAATAGTTTTATTTTTACATTTATGTTTTTTAAGTGGATATGATTTCCTCTTTGAAGATAGTAGTTTTTTTCTGTTTCTGTTATTACCTCTTTCCTCGTGGATTAGTTCTATTGGTATTCAGCACACCTTCTTCATATTTGTCAATAAAGGTTAATATTGAACAATATTGGTAGCTGGAATGTGTTTTCTAACCCAGGAGAGATCCGCTGTTTTTCTGGCTTTGATAGCCAATTGTAGTTACAAGCAAGCTGTGCCTTGTAATTGTGAGCAAGAAGGAAGCACTGGAACTTTAACATCTTTTCTATATGGATGTGTAGGTTATCATCTGTACTGAACCTTCCATGTGGTTTTCTTAGGTTAACTGGGGGCTCTCCCTTCCTCCTCTTGGTCCTTAACACTGACTGAGGGAGGTTGTCTTTAGTGGCAGACATGTGAATTAGTCCAGTGAATTGGACAAGTGAAAGGTAATGGAGAATAAAAGAAGAGCAACTGTGTTATAGAACTTTAATTTCAGTAGTCTTTTAATTACCCATTTGATTTTTATAATGACCATCATATCTTTTTCTCAGAACCCTCCCTGTGTCTTCTGTTACTCAGTTTCTTCTAGGAAAGCTCACTATTTTTGAGGTGTCCTTTGACTCATGGTCTTGGGATTTCCTTTGTTCTATTTTCAGTCTCCCTTGCCCCCCTGTCTTTAAAAAAAGTTTCCAGAAAAATGTCTGATGCTTCTAAGGGTTTATTTTTATTTCATTTGGATTTGAGGAGGGAGGAGGAAAGGGTATGGGGGAGCTTTAGCAACATTTCACATTTTGTTTCTGCTGGGTTTAGTGAACACTTCTGTAATTTTGAAGAGAAATTTGGTAAAGAATCTAATTTTGAACCTAGCTCTTCCATTTTCAATTTATTGGTTTATATGCTGAGTTTTATGGGCATCTTAAAGCTGAATTATTTTCCATAAATATTGAGAAACAAAAGGTATAGTACTTGGCACACAGAAGTTAACTGGGAAATATTCATAACCATATACTTAATGTCCCTTAAATGGTATAAGCTATGACATGTGTGTTACTATATGTTATATGTGGGAGTTAAAGTCTTACATTTCTGTTCATGCTTACACTTTATATAAACCATGCCAGTAGTTAAAAGATTCTAATATAATACTTAACTATTCTTTCCTAGAATTTATTGTTCTTGGATAGGATCACTCATATTATTACTGTAATGGTTGATTGCATCGACTTTTCACCATATAATATTAAGTATCAGCCCAAAATTAAATGTAAGTATTTTATTTGCTTACCTAATATATCATAAACATGGCTGGCTGAACTGTTGTCAGGGCAAATCCTAATAGCTTTTCCCATCTCATTTTACCTACTTTTGATGCTATGTAACCATGTTAGTTACTATGCTAGTAGCTCACATGCTTGCTCTCTTTCCTTCTGTGTGTGTGTGTCTCTCTCACCCACCTCCCCAATCTAACTCCTTTGTATGATGCAGAAACATAAATATTGTCCTATTTAGAGATTGTCTAATAATACAAATGATTTTACTTATTCCATCTGGTACAAGGGATTATCTGGACAAAAAACTTTGATGTTTGTTAAAATGTTCTTATTTGGTAGCCTGATTTGAAATAATCATTAAATAGACATTCAACTGCATAGAAAATCGTGACAGTGATTAATCAGTTATGGTTTTACAGGAAATTTAAAATGATGCTAAAAGTTTAACTCAATTTTTACTGTATAAAATTGGACATTTGAAATCATAACAAGTTGTCTTATTTTTATAACTATGTTCCTTGGTTAATTCTAAATTATGTTGTAATAAATACTGAGCTATTCTACTAAGTGGTTCTTTGAACTTACATATTTCTACCAGTGATTATATATTTTCATACTGTATAGGAAAGAACCTTCCAGTAATGGAAAATGTGGATGTTTAAAGGTTACTTTTCCTGTTGAAAGATTGGGAACATACTCAGTTTTCTTTTCTTTTGGGTTTTTTTTTTTTTTTTAAGGTTCATATCATTCTTTTTTAAATTTATTTTATTTGTTTATTTTTGGCTGTGTTGGGTCTTCATTGCTGCGTGCGGGCTTTCTCTAGTTGCAGCAAGCAGGGGCTACTCTTTGCTGCGGTGTGTGGGTTTCTCATTGCGGTGGTTTCTCATTGTGCAGCATGGGCTTTAGGTACTCGGGCTTCAGTAGTTGTGGCACGCGAGTTCAGTTGTGGCTCGCAAGCTCTAGAGTATAGGCTCAGTAGTTGTGGCACACAGGCTTAGTTGCTCCATAGCATGTGGGATCTTCCTGGAACAGGGATTGAACCCGTGTCCCCTGCATTGGCAGGCAGATTCTTAACTACTGTGCCACCAGGGAAGTCCCTCAGTTTTCTTTTAATAAGATCTATCTTTGATGAATTAGTGTAAAGATTACTAGAACATAAAATATTTTTAGGGTTTTTTGGGGGGTGTTTCAGTTTTAAATAGTAATGTAGAGAAACATGTTATGTGACTAAAGTGTATTACAGGTCAGAGCATCCCAGCCTTGATGCCACAGAAATGGATGTGCTTGAATTTTTTGTTTTTAATCTCAGCCCCCTTTTGGGCTGAGCAGCACTTAATCTGATTACCTCTTTGTTCAAAAAATAAAATTCTCTAAATATCTTAACTATAAAGGTTATATAACAGATGATATCAGAAATTATTTTCTAAGCCACCGAATTTTGATAAGGCAAGACAGTGAGCTCCAGGTGGACATAATTTTACCTATTTTGTTACTTCTGAAAAAATTAGAATTAACTGAATATCCATTCTATCCATGATCTGTAAACCCAGAATTATAAGTCTTTTGTCCTCATTGCTTGTCTTGCAAGAGGTGTTCTTGCTGTTTAAATTTATGGAAACTAGGGGAGATGTCTAAAAGCTGCCAGCAAAAGTTGAGGAGAGGAAACAAAAATTAGAACTAGTTGAAAGAAAATTATTATTATTCATAAATATGCATAAGGATCACTTTGAGAGTTTTTGGATAACTTTTGTAATTTGTTTTAGAGAAACATTGCAAAAATTATACACAGACCCTAAACATTTTTTTTTTTAATGTTGAGCCTTCTTTTATTTATTTTTGGCTGTGTTGGGTCTTCGTTTCTATGCAAGGGCTTTCTCTAGTTGTGGCAAGCGGGGGCCACTCTTCATCGCGGTGCGCGGGCCTCTCACTGTCGTGGCCTCTCTTGTTGCGGAGCGTCTCCCGACGCACAGGCTCAGTAGTTGTGGTTCACGGGCCTAGTTGCTCCGCAGCATGTGGGATCTTCCCAGACCAGGGCTTGAACCCGTGTCCCCTGCGTTAGCAGGCAGATTCTCAACCACTGCGCCACCAGGGAAGCCCAACACTAAACCTTTACTCAGATTCCTCAGTTATCAGTTGATTGCTTTTGTCTTATCATTTTCATCCCCCACTCCCCTTTATACTTTTTATTTCCTGGAACCATTTCAAAGTACTTGTAGACAAGTCTTTGATCTAGAACATTTCCCAAGTCTTGTCTTTCACGACCTTTGAAAGTGAAGAGTACAGGGCTTCCCTAGTGGTGCAGTGGTTAAGAATCCGCCTGCCAATGCAGGGGACACGGGTTCGAGCCCTGGTCTGGGAAGATGCCCATGCGCCACAACTACTGAGCCTGCGCTCTAGAGCCCGTGCTCCACAACAAGAGAAGCCACTGCAGTGAGAGACCCGCACACCGCAACGGAGAGTAGCCCCTGCTCATCGCAACTAGAGAAAGCCTGTGTGCAGCAATGAAGACCCAAGGCAGCCAAAAATAAATAAATAAAATAAATAAATTTTTTTAAATTAATCTTTTTTTTAAAAAAAACAAAGAATACAAATAAAGTTACTTTTTGAGAGTCTCTCAATTGGGCTCTGTCAATATTTCCTCAAGATTAGATTGAGATTTCATTTCTTCACTGGGATACTACAGAAGTATTTTTTTCAGTGCATTATGTCACCAGGCACACAAGTCAGTTTGTCCCATTACTAATGATGTTACTAACATTTACTATTTGGTTAAGATGGTATCTGCCAGGTTTTCCACTGTAAAGTTAATTAGTAAATACTTATAATTAATAAGTTAATGTTTTGTGGAAGGTACTTTGAGACCATGTAAATATCTTGTTAACCCAGCATACTTTTACCCATGGGTTTTTCAGCCACTGATGCTTCTTGCTTAAAACACTATGATGTTTCCCAAAGTGGTAGTTCATGTTGTTTCACTTAATTACGTTACTTTGTATCAAGGAGTTTATCTCCTTTGCTTTAATTACATTAATTCTAAAAGCTGTCCCCATTTTAATTATTTATCTCATTATGTTCCCTTAATAAACCATTCTACAATTATTTATCAAGCCACTAAGCACCAGACACTTACAGGTGCAAGTGACATCCTAATTTAAGATACAGCTTCCTTTGTCCCCTATTTATTTTGTTTTTATCAGCATGGATTTCTGTTATTCAGTAGGCTATAATTTATTTCTATTAAAGTTTAATGTTCTTGTTGGTGGCGTCTATTAACCTTTTCATAATTTTCCATTATTCTTTGAGAACTTTGACATAAGATGTTTATATTTTTCCCTGCCTCAGCCTGGAACCAGCCATATCTCCAAGGAATATGGTTCCTTTTAGCTGAGAATGGCATTTAGAAACCAAAATCTGTTCATTGCTATTAAGGTGTCACTGCTTCTGGATCTCTGAGTGGACAGAGGTGGGAAATACATTGGTGTGCTTGTGAACTACACAGTTATGTTTCTCTAGATTTACTTTCAGTTATTTTCTCATATCATAAGGTTTATTCTAGTCTTGGATATCCCTTTTCTCTATTTACCTGCCTCAGTATGTATACTGTTTGATCAGTCTCTTGTATGTAAGTGCTCCCCTGACTACAGGCTGTCTTCAGCCTCAACATACTAGCCAAGAATTTCTGGGTGGCCTTTCCAATTTAAATTATTCATGTATGGAAAACTGATTCTAGGGAAGAAGGTTGACTTCCTTTCAGTAGCAACACTTGTTTTTCATTTCACCACGTGATATTTTTAATTAATAAGCACTGAATTAGAGTTTTCTCTTAAATCTGAGATATCTTAACCTTAAAAGAATGGATTCTTTGAGGGAAACAAAGGTAATTTTGGAATAGGTACGATTTTCTTGAAAGACATAATGGGTTTACCCCTGGAGATAGATGGAGTTTAAGAAGGGTGCAAAGGAAAGTTGGACGGATACATCTTTTTCTTTAAATCTAGGCTTTTTCCCTTGTATTATTTCTGAGGATTTGGATCTCTGACTTATTCAGTATTAATTTGTGGGGTTTAGTGTACTATAGATGAGCCAGGAAGCAATGATTCTAAGGGAAATCTTGTTTCTTATTTTTTAAATGGACTTTAAACTTTTAATTTTGGAGCACAGCTTATATAATTTAGTGTTTTCTTACAAATTAGTTGTTTAAATTTTGAGACTATAAAATAAAAATTTTAATGTATTTTAAAATTCCTTAGAGAAAATAGTCATTTTTCTGGAGTTCTTATTCTAGCTCTGCCAAACAGTTTTCCCTTATCTCTGATTCTCTTTTAGAGATAATGTAGTGATGTTTATCCACTAATGGTATTTCATTTTAAGATTTGTGGGTATCACTCTACAGAAACACATGTATTAGATGTAGATGTCATGTAAATGTGAGACAGTTGTAAAGATGAACAATGACACTTTTCAACACACGAGTTTTTAATAAGTTTAATTTTATCCTAGCACCACAGAGACCTTCAGATTGGTCCAAAAAGAAGAAGGAGCCCTTGGGAAAATTGGCTTCTTTATTTAAACTTATTGTGAGAGTGATCTATTCTTTCCACACTCTGAGCCTCAAGGAAGTACATTCTGATACTCTACTCGCTATTGGCAACTCAATCACCAGCATTCTTTCCAATGTACTTGGACATATTTCTTTGCCTTCTATGATCCGAAAAATATTTGCAACTTTAACAAGACCTCTGGCATTATTTTACGAAAACTCAAAGTAAGTATTTTGGCTTAATAACTTTGAATTAAACATATATAACTGGATTTAGGTAGCAAACGTTTATTGTTTTCATATCAGCTTTGCTGTTAAAGATCTTAATCTTTAAAGTTTAGTGGAAAGGGTAATATGTGAAACTATGCTTTTGTTAAAAAGTTCAATTAATAAATAAGTATGAGGCAGAAATTGGAAGTCACTTTATTTTTCATGATTAGTCCAACCCTCTTTTTACTTTAGTGCATGTCTTTTCAGAACTGTTAATACAAAAAGCATACCTCTTAAGTGTATGATATATATGACTTGACACACTACTTTGCAGTTAAGTATTATATATGGTATGCACTTAGTATATTGGATGCATCTTGCATCATACACCTAAGAGTCTCATTGTTCTTAATGTCTGCATAGGGCTTCATGAAACTTTACCCAATTTCCTGTTGGTGGACATATGTTTTCTAGTCTTTTTCCTTATAACTAACAATATCACATTTGAACATATGTGTACATAAGTCATTTGCCACTAAATAGCAGAACAGGGCCCTAAAATTGAAATGGTTGGTTCAAAGGGTATATGCATTTAAATTTCTGAATTACCCTCCAGAAGTTTGTATTAATTTACATTACCTTTTACATTTGAACCAAAGAAAGCGGTGCCTAAAAAACAACATGAAAAAATCCCAAGTAACATACTTGAAAGGAGCATTTTGGAAGAATTCATTAATGTTCTTTATAGCAAGCTTGTGTGGTTCAGTTATAATACAGCCTGTCTTTCATAAATTCACAGAGAAACCTTTAGGAACAGATTTTATAAACTACAAAATAGAACTCCAAATCCATTAAGTTTTTGCAAATCTTTTTTAGTCCTTAAGCTTCATCAAAAATAATAATGCTTTTTAAAGAGCATGGAAACAAGTGACTGGTATTAATACTTCGAGGTCTGTTCCAGATGTTTTTCTTTAACTCCTATTTTAAAGACAGGTTTGTTTCATGTTTAAATGTTTGCAGTTTGACAATTTTTGTTAAGTCTTGGGACACCTTTGTATACCACTACACGTGTCTCATTTTTTTTATGCTGCATTATGATATTTCTAGGTTTAATGTTCTAAAATATAAATGGTACTCTGTTTTTCTTCATAGGTTTGATGAAGTTCCTAAAGTATATAGTTGTATGAACAACAAGGTAAAAATAGACATTGTCCATAAAATACACTTTCATGAAGAAAAATTTTAGGATTTAAATAATTGTCTTCCTTAAATATAATTTTGCTGATTTTTTTTTCAAGGGTCATTATTACACCTTAATTTTAATGAACTTTTAGTAACAAGACGTGGATATGATCAAAGGATAGTTTTTTAAAGGAAGATTTAATATTGCTTTAAATTCACAAAGCTCATCTCCTGTCTCATCCCTTTATATATGAAAGTAATTGGTTCCAGGGTTTTATAGGTAAAACTTCTGTAGGCAACTATTAATCTCTTATAATTTATGTGAAAACATAATTTTTTCTGTTAATGGAGAATAAGCTTGAATTCAAGCTGTTGTATCGATAAAGTAAGTTCTTGCCGGCCTATAAAGAGTGTTATATATTGAAGGTGATGGGAGCTTTTAAAAAAAAATTGAAATAATAGCATGTTCTGTGAGTTTAATTTAGTATGCTTTGTGCTTTTATTTTTTCTGTTTGAAAAGTCACATTTCTAAGTGTTATCCTAATGAACTTTTTCTTTTTCCTAGTTAGAAAAGCTACTAGGAGAAATTATTGCTTGTCTACACGTCAGCTACACTGGGACTTACGACAGTGAACTTCTTGAACAGATCTCGCCATTATTATGCATAGTATTTTCACACAAGAACAAACAGATTAGAAAACAAAGTGCTCAGTTCTGGAATGCCACATTTGCTAAAGTGATGATGTTGATTTATCCTGAGGAGTTAAAGTATGCTAACAACAAAGCTCTTGTATACAGTTACTCTGATTGTGTATTGACATTTTGGTTTTAACATAAAATTTCCTTATGATGAATCATTGCAGAGGATTTCTTAGTTGAAATATTATTATTTGGAGTACATGGTGATTATTAAAATTATTTGACCCTTTGCTTTGGTCCTTAGAGTAACCTTAGTTTTAGGAACATAAAAAGCAATTTCAGATTATCCTTAACAAAAGAAATTTCCAGCAAAAGGCAGGAAATTGATGGCTGTTAAATCTAAGTGACATGTACTTAATGTAACAGTCTACTTTTGCTCAAAATCTTGATTTAAAATGTTGCTCAAAATTTTATGATTAAAATTTGGAAAATTGGAAAACTTTTTAAGAATAAAATTCAGAAACTGAAGAGTTCAGTGAAAAATTCAAATATTGTCTGTAATTTCTTACAGTTTTATGTATGTGGAGTAAAAAACGGTCTTTAAGTTGGCTGTATTTTGCCACTTTAAAATTATAATTAAAGTGTTCTTGTTAATATGTCATCAGTACTGCTTACTTAAGGCATATATATTTATGTATTTTTTTGAAGACCAATACTAAAACAAGCCAAACAAAAATCTCTGCTTCTGTTGCCTGGTTTGGAAAATGTTGAAATTATTGAGGAATCCAGTGGACCATATTCAGATACAGTAAGTTGCACAGGGGGGCGTTGTTTACTTTTGCATGATGTTTGAGTAGTTCTTTTATTGCGTTTCAGTGTAGTTTTAAAAAGGACAAAAGCTTAGAATGTTTTACTGAAGTGATGAACAAGTAAAACCTGAACAGAAGTGTTCCGTAACAGGAGTTTTCCATAAAGTTAGTTGTGTGGCCTAGAAAACTTATGAATTAAGGGCAGTCAATTTCACCATGGAGTCTCATTTAAATAATCTCTAGGTCTTGTTCATTAATGATCTTTTTTATTTAACTATGGCACCTCATATATTGTTTTGCAAAGGTTGGAATTATTGAAATATATGGTTAAATGTTGCTTTATATAAACTGGGAATGCTAGTTACTAATCCCTATGTAAGCAAGAGCTACACTTCATTTTCTCATTTCTTTGCATTGAATCTCATTCATTCTGCCAGAGAAACACATCCTTGATGTCACATTATCCATTTGGACCAAGGTTACTTTGGCTAATAGTACTTGATTACTGTCTAAAGATTAAGGAGTAAAGATAGAAGCACTATATATATATACTCATCAGGTAGAACACCCTTAGGCACTTTTTTCCTATTCAACAACAAATGGAGTCTTACTATTTTTTATTTAGAACCTTAAGAGAAAAAGTGTTATAGCTAGCTAAATGCTCTTACTTAGTTTTGGTTTTTGGGTAAAATAAAAATTCTTATCAGATAATTATCTAGACTTGTTTAGACTCTTTCAGTGTAATTTGTCCTGAAAAAGCCATATATTCTGTTGGGAGGGACCTGATAGTATTTTCTGTCATGTATGTTTTATTGTTTAAAGTTTTATGGCTTTGGTTTTTCTTTTAAAACAATTTCCAATAATAAGGGGTATTTGAGTTCAGTAATTCGATTCATTTTTATAGTGTTTATTTGATATATCAGGATGCAAAACAACTATTGCTATATAAGTTGGAGACAACAAATCTTTGCTGTTACTGCATTAGACAGTGGCTTTCTTTTCTTTGACATGATCTTAGTAGATACGAATAGTCAAAAGAAATTTGAAATGAGTATTGATTAGACTGTAATTATCAAAATGTGAAAAGGATAAATAAAAAACATTTGCACATAATGAAATTGTTTTACTTTTACAAAAACAGACAGAAAATTCACAGTTAAATATGAAGATAAGTGGCATGGAAAGAACCTCAAGTGGAAAAAGAGATTCTTTTTTGGCACAAATAAAGGATACAAAAGACAATATGAAACCACCAGCTAAAGTATGTTTTTCAAAGTGTATTTAATAGAACTTTTAAAATTAAAGTATATGGTAGCTTGCAAATATACAACTTCTGATTGGAAGAAAAACCTGTTAAAGACTAAATAAAAGATGGGATTGTAGGGAAATAGTAAAGTGTGGCCTGGGAAGACTATTAAGATGGCATGGTAATCTAGAAGCCTTGGGAGATGATTACTTCTTAGTAAAGTTAAGTCTGCATAACACTGAGCATTTGTTTAGTATAGTTACTCGAGGCAGCGGCCCCCCTTGAGATGGAATGAAACTAAATAAGATTAACTATAACATAGGTAGCATGAAAGGAGAATGTTTTAGAACTTCTGTTATTGAATAGGAAGAGAATGCATCCGTAAGACATCTGTTGTAAGCTCATATATAAAACTAAATATCTAGTAGCTAGTGGCCAATTAGCCAATCTTCAGATAATAATTCTTCCAGGACCTCCAGTAAAGGGGTGTTCTGGAATCTTGAGACCATGGCCCTGGCAAAATGAAAGAAATGTTATTTTTAAAGAATAACTTTGAAACAGTCTTGTAGCAACTGAAAAGTAGAATGAAAACAACTGTGCTGAAAATTTGTAAAAATGACATTATGGTACCAATATTATTGGTATGTAAGACATATTATTTTGGCACCTTTTACGTAATTTGAGTAGTTTGTGCTTCAACTTGAAACTGCAGATATACTTTCCTCCTGCCAAAACACTTGATTTCTGTGTGTGGGCCTGAAAAACATTTGCCCATGCTTTTTTGGTAAGCACACATTTGCCTACCCTTTTTTTTTTTTTTTAAGGAAATGGAGATCCATTATTTGTTTTTTTAAATAAATTTATATATTTTATTTATTTATTTTTGGCTGCATTGGGTCTTCACTGCTGCACGCTGGCTTTCTCTAGTTGCAGCGAGTGGGGGCTACTCTTTGTTGTGGTGCGTGGCCTTCTCATTGCAGTGGCTTCTCGTTGCAGAGCACAGGCTCTAGGCGCATGAGCTTCAGTAGTTGTGGCACGTGGGCTCAGCAGTTGTGGCTTGCGGGCTCCAGAGCACAGGCCTCAGTAGTTGTGGTGCATAGGCTTAGTTGCTCCGCGGCATGTGGAATCTTCCTGGACCAGGCCTCAAACCCGTGTCCCCTGCATTGGCAGGCGGATTCTTAACCACTGTGCCACCAGGGAAGTCTTTGCCTACTTTTTAAAGAGGTATAATAATTTTTATTTTCTGAGTACTTAGTAGAGGCAGAATGAAAGTTAAGGACATGGTACTAATTGTTACTAACCAGGAATATTATATGAGTTTGAACTTCAAACTTCCTAGTCATTATCAAAAACCTTTATCAGAGTGCCTGAAGAGAGATTGATTGAAGTATTGGAAAATAATTTGGAAACTCAAAATGAGCATTAACGTTTTCAATTTACAGTTGAAACTAGAGTCTTCAACTCCAAAAGCAAAGAGTGAAATGCCTTTGGAAGAAGAAAAGTCTACTGACTTTGTGTTTATACCTCCAAAAGGAAAAGAAACAAAGGAAAGGATACTAACTGAACACCAGAAAGAAGTACTCAAAACAAAGAGGTTTGTAGTACTTTTATCTTGAATTGAGTATTCCATATTTACGTTTAGATTTCATGCGGCAAACCATAATTTTGAGTTTATAACTGAGATACTGTGTATACTGTGCTGCTATATTTTAAGTGTCAGAAAGATGGACTGTGCATAACTACATTTCATAATGTATAAGGCTGCCTTGAAATGTGCTAAATGTTTCTAAACAATTCCTTTATTGAGGTATGGGAGGAAAAGGTAGGGGAGATGGTTTCATGGAAAATAAGCATTTAAACCTTGATTTTATATTGTTCTTAAAATGTAACTAGATGTAGAATTGTAAGTTTAATTTCTAGTTGTAGGAATATCAGATATTGAAGTTGCTTATAAAAAATCCTTTTCAGGTGTGATATTCCTGCCATGTATAATAATCTGGATGTTTCACAAGATACTTTACTTTCTCAGTATGGTCAGGAAGAGTCTATGTAAGTATGGAAGTTGTTGAAATAACTGGTTTTCTAATTTTTAATTAACAGTATTCTAATTTATGCACTTATTTATTTCAGGGAAATTCCTACTTTAACTGAAAAATCCAAGGAAGATTCCAAGATGATATTTAAGGTATATTTGGTATTTCATATTTTGGGGTTTTTAGAATCACCCTTCCATTATTATGGAGTCTCTTATATTAATGTTAAGATTTATTGTATAATCTCTTAACTTTCCTTAGCAGACTTTAGCAGAATATAGTCATTATATGTGTGGGTCTGCATCTGTGTGTGAGTGCATGTGTGTTTAAATGTATTTGGCTTTATTGAATACTTAAAATTGGAAACACAAATTAATGGGCATCTACCATCACCTTTGGAAAATTTGCAGAATATTGAAAGTCAGATCGCCCTTTGAATTACTAAAGCTTTACACAAAAATTTCCCCAGAAAGTCAGGCTTGTTTGCTGGTTAATCTATATGTATATGTACATTTCTATGCAGGAGGAACAAAAGGAGAGTGACATTGTCATTCCTCAACATGTCACGGAAAACTGTGGTATGGATGAACACCTTGAAAAGGCTTCCCTTTCGAATAATGAGTGTGGTTCTATTGAGGAAACCAATCCAGAAATACTGAGCAGTAATGATGCCAGAAAAAAGGCTTTAATTGTATCAAAGAAGACGCCAACTGAATGTGCATCTAGTACAGAAAATACATTTGGTGTCAGCAGTAGCTCAGTTTCTAATGCCACTATTTCTGGAACTCCTCTCCCACAGCCTACAAGTCGAAGGCAATCCTTTATTACTTTGGAGAAGTTTGATGGCTCAGAAAATAGACCCTTTAGTCCATCCCCCTTGAATAATATATCATCAGCTGTTATAGTGAAAAATAACCAGGAAGGCATGGCTAAAACAGATAATCCACCAAAAGCAAAGAAAAGAGAAGTGGCTCTTTCAAAATCTGACTCTGCAAAAACACTACATGGGATTAAGAGATCAGGCCGAAGGTCGAGTAAGCCTGAACCAATAGGGAATAAAAAGTCTAAGCCCTTGATGAGATCTGATCAGGAGAAAAGTACTCGGGAATCTGTTGATGGCATGGTAGCCTTAGAAAATAACCCACCTGGTTTGCTTAATCAAACAGAACGTGTATTAGATAATCAGGTTCATCTCTCTGAGTCTTCAGTGGAGTATGAGGATACGATGCTTAAACCAACAATAGAAAATACTATACTATTAGAAAACAGTACTGTAGAGGAGAAAACCTTAGAAATTAATTTGGAATCCAAAGAAAACACACCCCCAGCCATAATAACAACAGATCAAACAGTAAATGAGGATAGTCATGTTCAGATAACTCCAAATCATAAAACCCTTAGACGATCTTTAAGGCGACGTTCAGAAACAGCAGAGCCAACCACTGATAGCCAAGATAAAGAAAATAATCAAAAAAGGGAAAGACGTAAGGAAGAAGAAAAGACTCTGCAGAGGAGTCCATTGCATGTAAAAGATGATGTTTTACCTAAGCAAAAATTGATTTCTGAACAAACTGTACAGGAAAATTTAATTGAGAAAGGAAATAATTTACATGAGAAGACTTTTGGGGAAACCAGCGCTAATGCTGAAATTGATGAAAATAGAAGAAAGCCAGATCTTGAGACTACTAAATCTGAGGGAGATGGTACCCAGGACATTGCAGATAAATCCTCTGAGAAAACAGTAAGGGGACGAACACGGTATCAAACAAGAAGAGCATCCCAGGGTTTACTTTCCAGCATTGAAAACTCAGAATCTGATAGTTCTGAGGCAAAAGAAGAAGGTTCTAAAAAGAAAAGATCTGGAAAATGGAAAAACAAAAGCAGTGACAGTGTTGACATTGAAGATCAAGAAGAGAAAATGGTAAAACAGGAATGTATAAAGGTTGAAAGTCAGACACATGATTATAAAGGGAATTCTGAAGTAGACAAAGATACAAAATCTCAGATCTGTGATAGAAGAGAAGAAAGTAATATTGTAACTCTTCAAGATTCTACAATATCTGCAGAATTATTACAAGTTTCTGGTGATGTATCAAATACTTATGAGGGAAAAAGTAAAACTAACAAATGTGCAGAACATTTCTTTTCAAATCCTTCTGTACCAGAATCAAATCTAAGGACTAGAAATGCCAATAAAAGATTACATAAGCGAGATTCTCTAGAAAATAGTGTGGGTGAATCCTCAAAAACAGAAACATCAGACATTTCTTTGCTTTCTGAAAGACCTCTTCAAACACTTGAATGCCAACACAAGAGAAGTAAGAGGGTGAGGAGATCTAAAGGTTGTGATTGCTGTGGAGAAAAATCACAACCTCAGGAAAAGTCATTCATTGGGTTAAAGAATACGGAGAATTATGATGTAAAAGTCAGCGAAACAAAAAAGACAGATGCGCAGACACCTGTAACTATATCAGAAACTTCTAAAGCTGATCTGTATTCAGAAGTAAAACTTTTAGATGAGCATCATAGTGTGAATTTTCATTTGGATCTCAAGGAGGAGAATGATACTATTAATGATTCATTAATTGTATCTGAAACTGAATTGAAAGAAAATACTATTCAAGACTTTCTTCCTTCTGAAATGGTAAATATTAAAGAAGAAACTTGTGATAGGGATTCTGAGGTAGCAATATCTCTTGAAAGCCAGGAGCCATCTAATAAAAAGTGTAAAACTATTGACCCATGTTTAGGTGACTTCAAAGATATTTCACTGGAATGTTTAACTTTGGAGACCAAAGAAGAAAAGCCAGAGGCTATCCCCAAAAAGGAATTGAGTATTATAGAGAACCTTGCTAATGTTGAAGCAAATGCAGAATTGAATCCAGGAGAAGTAGATGCTATGGAATTGAATGCAGAAAGTGATAAATCTGAAGCTAGCTTCTCTAAACAAAAGAGTGTCAAAACTGATATTTCAGAGGAAGAGGTAACAGAGGAAAACAGTCAAAGAACGGATGCACCTGAAGAACTCAGTGCTGACGAAGCAATAACTGTGGAATTTAATTCAGGTATTGGTCATTCTGATAATACCACACCTGTGAAAGTGAGTGCTCAGTTAGAGATTTCTGAACAGATAGCAGTTGGGGAACTAGACAGAGGAAGTGATGAATCTGATCCAGGCTCATCTGGAGAAATGAATGCTGAAATGGAAAATTGTGAAGAAACAGTGATTGGTGAGGTGACTACTGAAATTGACCGTGTCAATGAAACAGAGGATGAGGACTTAACTACCAAAGCCTCTAAGCCTATAGAAGCTGAAACAAAGAGATTGAATGCAGAAATCGATAGCTTTGTTCCCAACACACTTGAGATGAGCACTGAAGAAGGAAAGGTTGACTCTAATAAAACTGAAACAAATATTGAACCTAATAAATTTGAGGAAACAAAATTAGGTGACAGTCAGATGGTAGTGGGAAATGATGGAATTTTACCGGAAGTTCACCATACTTCAGAGAAAGAGGAGGAGACACCACAACCTCTGACAGCTGAAACAGCTGTTTCTGAACTGGTATCAGAAGACAATAATACATCTCCTCAAAAATTAAAGGATGTTGATCCTTACATGTCAGCAAATGACAGTCCTAGTGGCATGCAGACACGCTGTGTCTGGTCTCCTTTGGCTTCTCCATCCACCAGCATTTTAAAGAGAGGACTAAAAAGACCCCAAGAAGATGAAAGCTCATCACCTGTTCACAAGGTAGGGGAATTGAGGCTGAATATTAATGAGTCCATGTTTAATTGGAATATTTTGGCCATATGGTGATACCTGGTGAATGACAGAATATTAGGTTTTATATGACCATTCATTTTGAACATTTACCGTGGTGGCTAGGGAAAAGGGCAGGTAGAAGGAAAGGTTGAGAAAGGAGACTGAAGCCCTTTAAATTTATTTATTTATTTAATTTATTGCTTGCTTGCTGCGTTGGGTCTTTGTTGCTTCCCACAGGCTATGTCTCGTGGCGAGCGGGGGCTACTCTTTGTTGCAGTGTGCAGGCTTCTCACTCTGGTGGCTTCTCTTGTGTGGAGCACGGGCTCTAGGCCTGCGGGCTTCAGTAGTTGTGGCACGTGGGCTCAGTAGTTGTGGCTTGCAGGCTCTAGAGCGCAGGGTCAGTAGTTGTGACACACGGGCTTAGTTGCTCCACGGTATGTGGGATCTTCCTGGACCAGGGCTTGAACCCCTGTCTGCTGCGTTGGCAGGCAGATTCTTAACCACTGCACCACCAGGGAAGTCCCTGAAGCCCTTTAGATATTCCTTTATTTCAGGACACTAAGCTACAGATCTTCATACAACCATCACCATTGTTCACTTTTTGAAAACTTGATAATCTCTCATGGTGATTTTTTTTTTCTGTTCTTCGTACCATAATATATGAGGAAACACTTAGAAACTAATAAAGTAGCTTTAGTTAGCACTTACTATGTACTAGGACATTATGCTGTTTCACATTTAAGTATTTATATAAACTATTTTCAGACCTTGTCTAATTGAAAAGAAAAAAAACATCTCTTTAGGCTGTGCCTTCATTAATTTCTGGATATGATTTCATTTGTAATTATTTTGTTTATGTCCCCATCTTCTTCACTAAAGTTTATCTACTTTGGTTTGTAAACATATGGATTACCTATGTATCTTTTAACCCCTGGTCCTGTGACTTGCACATAATTTGTTGAATAAATACAATTTAAAAAGGAAAAGTTGCATGTGCTTACATAACTTGTCCTCTCTAGCAAAGTAGATGTTTTGAAAAAGTACAATGTAGGCATTCCTTAATTTTGAAACTGAACCTACCGTTTACTGTAGAATACATGTGTTCATGTATACAAACGTGTATATATAAATATAATTATACTGGCACTTAATTTTGCCTTTAGCCAGCACATTTTGAAGACTTCCCCAAGATATACTGAAAATTCTCATATTGAGAATTCAGAGATTAGTTCTTGGGAAGACTTAATACCACTTGAGATTTTTTCAATTTGGTCTTGGTTTGCTTTTCTTTTGAGGCTCTTACTATTATTATTTTTTTTAAGTTTAAATAGGCCATAAGGTAAAATGCATTTGATTTCTTCAGTATACTTTAGATTGTTAATATCAGTTAACTAGTCATGTTTTGTTTGATAGTAGCTCATTTAATTTTTATTTAGGCAACAGTACAACATGCAGTAGTTTTCTGTAGCAGATATGTACAAAATCTGCCCAGTCTTTTGGGAATCAGGACCAGGAGGCATTTATATACATATTTAATGGTTTAAGTGCTCTGTTGTGTGCTTACATAGCTGAATGAGTGAATAAAGAGTTTAGAAGAGGCCAAAATGACTTCAAGCTGGGCTAAGAAAGACAAAAAAAGCCACCCAATTGCTGTGACTCTTGTACCCTCAAAGAGTTAAGAACTGAGCTTAGTAAGATATACCAGAGGCCAGTTAGTACTGTCTCTGCCTCTTTACATTGTTCTTTACAGTCCATAGTAAGCCTGTAAGGTTAATAGAATTTGATTATACAATTTTAACTGTCACATGCAATTTCATTAAGTTTCTGCTGTTATCCTTCTTTCACTCTCCTTGTTGCTGTATTATGCAGTTTAGACCATAGATAATTGGAATGCCCTTGGTCTTGAGTAGTATCTGTGAAAGCAGTCACCAGGAAGAACTACAACTGTGTGCAGTTGGCTTCTAGTGAAATAAATTAAGCTTCACATTCTATTTTTGGCTAACCTTACAATGAGAATTTATAGTGTTTTTATTTTAACTTTTAATTTTGTTAAATAAAAACATGACCTATGTTTTCAGGTTCGCCGTGTCTCCTTTGCAGATCCTATATACCAGGCAGGATTGGCAGATGACATTGATAGGCGATGCTCTATTGTTAGGTGCCATTCTTCAAATAGTTCTCCCGTAGTAAAAAGTGTTAAAACTTCACCTACTGCGCAATCTAAGGTAAGCTGTAGGCTTTAAAAAATACACATGCAGACAGAATTGTGTTGGGTAATTTGTCTTAAAATTAACTATTTAAGACACAAAACTTACTTGGTTTGGTTTATTGTTCTTTTGTCTGCTTACTCGGTAAGCAGACATGAAGAGGTGGTAAGAGGCAATGATGATCCAGCAAGTCATTGATCCAGTAATACTGTTACATTTTACATTTTCTGAAAATTGTAAGACATTACTGCAGGCTTAAGTTGTGAAAATAAAGTTGTAAAATTTACAGTTATCTAGGGTTCTGAGTATTTTTTTTCTCCTTTCTTCTATCTAGCATAATACTACTTCAGCCAAAGGATTTCTGTCCCCAGGATCACGTAGCCCTAAATTTAAGAGCTCAAAGAAGTGTTTAGTAAGAAGTGCTTTAGTTTTCATGCAACTTTATATTTTCATGTTCAGTCAGGTGACCTCTATTTAACAGCTTTTGAAATTTATTCTAAGATTGCAGAAATGGCTAAGGAATCTGTGCCGTGCCCAACAGAAAGTGTTTACCCTGCTTTGGTGAACTGTGTAGCACCAGTTGACATCATTTTACCTCAGATTACGTCCAACATGTGGTAAGTGGTTATTTAGGCTTCTGGCTTATACCTAGAGATCCCACTTACTTAAGAGGGATATTTAAATGATCAAGGTTCTCATGTTTAGAATTGATTTATATGTACATTCACACACTTTGTTTTAGAAATAAATGAAAATGCAGCTGGGAAGATGGGTGAGATATGGCAATAATAGAAGCATTGATCATAATACAGTAATGGCTAAGATAATTGTGTGCTTAATATTTGCCAGGTTTTGCATACATTATCTTATTTAATTCTAATATAAATACTGTAAGGAGTATAATTAGTTCCACTTTATGTTTGTAAAGGTTAGTCTTGCTTAAGGCAGGTATACACATCAGATTCAAATTTTAAAGTAAATGCATGTATGCCTGTCCTCAGAGTGGGCTAGGTGGGCCTATATAAATTCAGTTATGATTGATCTTAAATCAGGAAATTCAATTGGGTAGGCCCTTACAAACAGAATAAATATAAAACTGTATGACATGTTTCCTGTTTCTGTCATCTCTTTAGGGCAAGAGGACTGGGACAACTCATTAGAGCCAAGAATATAAAAACAATTGGTGATTTGAGTACTCTTACAGCATCTGAAATAAAAACTCTTCCTATCCGTTCTCCAAAAGTGTCTAATGTAAAAAAGGCTCTCAGAGTATATCATGAGCAGCAGGTAAAAACTTAGATGTTAGTCATAACATCATGTATAAATAAATGATCAAGCAATACAGTTACAGAAGTTTGCATTTAAACTATTCTTGCTAAAAAAGTTCATTTTATATGATGCCTTATCGTCCCTTCCCCTGCAGTTAAGAGTAACTTAAAAGATTCATTTATAATTCCATAGATTTTCTCATTTTGTACTGTGATTGTGTATAATACCTCTTTATTCTTTGAATTCTATTTTCCTACCCTCTTATCTCTTTTATTTCCACCAAATAGGTGATTGGTTTCATGGCTGCCATTTCTAAAACCTAGATGTTCAAATCTAAACATTTACAAAAATCTTGCATATTAGTAGTTAACAGTATTTTGATTTTGATATCCAACACAATTGTGGCCAATTTTTTTTAATTGCTCTTCCTATCAACTTTTAACACAAACATTTTAGGTCATGGACATTTCTCAAGATTCTTATGAAAGCCAAGATTCTTTTGCCATATAAAAATGTATCAGTATACAGAAAATTTTGTATATCATTTCAGAAGAATTTACAGACTCTTCTGAAACCCATTTAGAAACCCTTTATGTATTCATTGATACTATACAAAACTGTGAATATATGAAAAATAGGGTTTGTTAAGGGTGAAAGCCGGTGTTCTATTAGAATTTCTGGGACTGGAGTTTGCAGGCTGCTGAAGACTTCTGCTGTATTTGTGAAAGTCCTTGATTTACTATTAATTTTACTTGATCTTTAAAAACATTTAACCAGTGGGGGAAAAAAGAACTATTAGTAATTTTCAGTCTGATAGCTGAAGCATTTCAACTGCTTTATTGAGATCCAGCCACATACCATAAAATTCACCCACCCAAAACACACAGTTAAGTGGTTTTTTAGTATATTCACAAAGTTACACAACCGTCACCAAGACCTAAATTTAGAACATTTGTTATTACCCTGGAAAAAAAAAAGCCCTGTACTCATTAGCAGTCACTCTGCATTTTCACCCCCAAGGCAACCACTAATCTTTGTCTCTGTAGATTTGCCTATTGTGGACATTCCATAAAAGTGGAGTCATATAACCTGTAGTCTTGTGAATGACTTCTTTAACTGAGCATAATGTTTTCAAGGTTCACAGGTATTAGTACTTCTTTCCTTTTTATGGTTAAATAATATCCCATTCTATGGCTATACAACGTTTTGGTTATCGATTCATCACTTGATGAACATTTGGGTTGTTTACACACTTTCCTATTATGAATATGCTATTAGGTACATTCATATACAAGTTTTTGTGTGGACATAACGTTCTTTATTTCTCTTGGGTATATATGTAGGAATCTAATTGCTCGGTCATATGGTAACTCTAACGTTCTGAAATTAGTATTTTCTCAATCAGTAATCGGTAAGCCCTGGGAATACCTTTGAAAATTGTGTTCTTTTTAAAAAAAAGAAGTCCATATATTATTTAAGCTTGGAAATCTTTGCCTTAGATTTGCTTTTCCTCTGTTCCTGAACCTGGGGAATATATGTAGTTTTTCATGGCTACCATTTGCAATAATTCTTGACAAATCCATTAGGAAATATTATAAACCCCATAACCACCTCTTTGAAAAAACAGTGCTATGTAATGCTATTTTTGTGTGTTGTTAGTAGAACATGGGTTCTTAGCAGTATTAGCTAAGTTTATCATGTAATGGGCTGTGAAACATAGTATGTCAGATTGTTTTCCAGCATTAGTGGTTCTGTTACTATTAGTCCTGTTAAAAATTACTTTCAATTTGTCCCTTTTGTTTTTTTTTGTTTTGTTTTTTTACTGGTCTGAATGTATAAATCAAGGTGAAGTCTCGTGGACTAGAAGAGATTCCAGTTTTTGATATTTCTGAAAAAACAGTAAATGTAATGGAAAATAAATCTTTTTCTCCTGATGAAGAAAGACTTGCCTCAGGTATGTTTTAGCAAAGTGGGACAATTTTATAAGATCAGCTGACTTTCTTGAAGAAATATTTTGTTATTGTGCTTTTAGTTTTAATTTGACCATGCCCTGTGAATTAGACAAGTATTTTTTTGTGTAATAGTTGCCAAGTGTGTGAAAAAATAACTGATATGACTTCAAGTATGTCTAGTTGCTTTTTCTCTAATTGTCAACTTCTACTCTATCAAGGTCTCAAATGAGGATATAAACTATAAACATTGCATTCCAGTTATGTTGTTCATAAAAATGAAGTAGTCATGATTTCTGTAATGGCAAAGAATAAGCTATGGTAATTTTTTTTTGCCTGTTCTCTTGACCTTGAGCAGGTATACCTCAGCCTGCACTCTTAATTTGAAACCTGGGCACTTAAATTTTTATTACCTTAAAAGGTGAGAGATATAATTTAAGATTTATCTGGAATAGATTTAATTGTGCTTTTTTCCTTTCTTTTAGATTTAATTGATCCTGTTGCTTTAGAGACTCCGTTATCTAAAAATCTTGTGGCCCAGATTAGTGCACTTGCTCTTCAACTAGATTCAGAAGATCTCCATAATTATTCAGGAAGCCAGCTATTTGAAATGCATGAGAAACTTGGTAGCATGGCAAACTCTATAATTAAAAATCTGCAGTCACGTTGGAGGTCACCAGCCCATGAAAATTCTATTTAGTGTTTTAAGAGAAAATTGAAGTTAAAAAAAAAAAAATCACTGGATTTGTTGATTCATAAAGTAAGTTCTGAAATATAGCACAATTTCAGACTGAATGTTTGCAAAGTTGGTAACATTTCAGACGCTGAAGGGCAATATCTTATTAAGTTCAGTTTTGTTAGTGAGATCATTTTTTCCTGTATAACATGTTTTCTTGGCTGCTATGCGTAGTTTTTCCAAAAATTTAAATATTGAAATGTGAAAGTAAAAACTAGCATACATTGTATTTCACTTACTCATGCGTATTTTAATGGAACATTTTATGTAATATACCTGTTCTCAGTAAGTAAAAATGAAAATTTTTATTTGAACTTTTTGCTGAACTGATAAGGTATTTATACTTGATTTCCTTTTTTAAAATTTCTATTTGTTGTGCCTGAGGTTTAAGAAATTTGTTCTTGGTAAAACACCCCAAATGAGATGCAAGAGAATCTTTTGGAACGCTTTTCGCAGACATCAACGTTATTTGGACAAGAAAATACTTATATTTCAAGAAAAATATCAAAAGTTTCAACTTTTGGGGTTAAATATTAAAGCAGAATTTACTAAAATTCCATTCATTTGCGTTAGCAAATATTTGTTCAGCAGCATTTGCCTGTGAAAATATACTCTTATGAGACATATAATATTCAGTTAAAAATGCACGACTATTTGTACATTATGTATAGATTAAGTTTTTAATTTATAAATTTCAGTCTTCGTTAATTGCATGAGTTTTTTTCTGCAGCTTCTTGTGAATACCTTTGTTTTGTTTAATAGAAACATAATTTTGTATATATTGAATACTGAGATATCAGTATGGATAGAAGTGCTTCATGGGCTTGCTGCAGATGTTTGTAGGATTCTGTCTCTACAAATAAAACAACAAATAGTTTTGTACTTAGTTAATAGTGTTAGTTAAAACATGAGTTTATTTTCTAAAGTAACCAGAAAGAGTAAAGTAATGGAAATGAGAAAGTGTTACATGACAACTTTGCCATTCATTCCCATAACCTTCCCCTGCAACCCCCATCCCTTTTGGTTTAGAAGAGGGTATCAGCCACTAGAAAGCGTGCCTCATTACATTTCTCTTTAATGGGGATTTAACTTGAGTATTTTCATTATAACTTGGACCATAAGAAATCTAGAGTTTATCTGCTCTTTTTACCTATACCTAAAGCAAACTTGGGGGAAATTTGAAACTGTTCTTTCAAAATATTTATGTTTTACCGAGTAAAAAAGTAGGGTGTATGTAATCAAACCATTTGTAGATTTTACCAACTGGTATTAGTGCCTGACTTTCCCATATTTGTTTCATCTTTTTAACAGAGTATTTCATTTGTTTTCTAAATAGAATGAGCAAGTGATCTCAGTTTCAGACTTATTCAGAACTAACCCTTACTTGAAAAGGCACACATTCTTCAGCAACTTATAGAAAGTTTAATCCTTGTGTCTTGGTTAGCTTTACATTCAGAAGGGGGCTGCCACCCAGTCACAGTAAAAGTTGGTTTTTCTTTAATAATAAATTCATTATCAGTACATCGCAAATATTTTAGGGTCTAAGTATGATATTTATATGCTGAGGATGATTTTAAAAGAAATTCTGGGACCACTGAACTGAGGATTGTAGCTTGAAGAAATAGCTAATGAAAAATTAGGAATTTTTTAAACATTTATAATTGTGGTTTAAATTGTCTATCATTTATTTCCCAAATTGTATTTGACAGTAAAGAGGCATATATGTTTTTGCGAACATGTGTAAGAAGGGATGTGTATGTGTGTTGAGAGGAGTCAGAATTAGCTCATTTCATGACTTCGTATCTTAATATTTGTGTGAACTAAACTTACTTGCTGGTGGAATGAAGTTCTTGGGAAAATGAACAGTATAGCAGAAAATGTGACCAAAATGATTACCGTTTACTTAAATCACTGAGTTTGATGCAAGCACAGATTTTAATTTTAAAACATTGTGGTTTAATAAGGATATATTCTTAAATATTTGAGGGCAAAAACCAGTTTGCTAAGTCTTCATTGTTGATATAGTTATAAGTGTGTATGTGAGGCAACTTATTTTCAATTTTCTTGCCTTAAAATTTTCTGCAAATTTTTTCCTGAGTGATTCCAGAAGAGCTGAAAGCATTAATATTCCTTGATCAGCTCCAGTGTGTTGTTTCACTATTAAAGTGAAATCAGTTTTTTTCAAGTAATTCCTAATGGTTAATAAAACATGGCAGTCATTACTGAGAACACTCAAATGTGATTTCTTATTTTATGCATTTATAAAGAATCTAGTTGAATGCAGAGCCATAGTATAATTTTCCATGTTCCAAAACGGATTTCATAGTGGATTTAAATTTCCATTATTTCAGTGAGCCCATTATTAAAGATGCTCTGCTGTTTGAACAAGTTCGAAAGCCATTGTTGAATAGTGGAGAGCTTTTGCTCAAGTAATTATGCAGTAGGATAATACAGTCAAAAATAAGATTGAAATGTGAACTTTATAAGTATGGTAACCCTGACATTGTCCATGATTCTTTCTTTCTGTGCAGCTTGGTGTAGTATGGATTCTGTTATATATTTAAGAATCATAAAAATGTCAAGAAAGTTGGGTTATATCTTGCCTTAAATAAAGGTGGCAGGACAGGAAACAAAAGTTTGGAAAAATGGGAGGAGTATGTGGAAAACATACAAGTAGAGTTTTGTTTTTAAAGGAATGAGTAAAAATAAGTGCTGTTTCAAAAGCAGGCTTAGTTGAAATTTACCAAAAATACGAGTTACAGTGTCACATTTTTCTCTTAATGCCATTCCTTCCAACTTTGACTTTATAATCCACTAAGAAAAGCCTAGATTCCATCTCATATTCTTCATAATTGATTTGCAGCGAGATAATTTGTGAGCTAGGGTTGGAGGCCATAAAATAGCAGTTGTTAATAATTATTAGGCTAAGACTTGAGTCAGGGGAGTTAGCTGCTTGCTCATTAGTTCAGCACAAGACCATTTTATCCCTAAGCCATTAGAAAGGTCTTGGACGTTGTATACAAACATTAGAGTGAAGTTCTGACTCTTAACATAGTACTTCTCAAACTTGCATGTATTGGTAAAAATGCAGATTCTGATTCAGTAGGTCTGTGATGGGGGCCTAATAGTTCATTTCTAACAATTCCCATGTGATCCATACAAATGCTGATGCGGACTGCATTTGTGGTCGTCGGCATAAGAGGCTTCAAGATCTAAATTAAATTAGGTTTTGGTATCCCAAGCAGATTTAAGTCCTTAGAATTATTGCCACAAAAGATAAAAGCTAGGGGCTTCCCTGGTGGTGCAGTGGTTGAGAGTCTGCCTGCCGATGCAGGGGACATGGGTTCGTGCCCCAGTCCGGGAAGATCGCTGGGCCCGTGAGCCATGGCCGCTGACTGCAAAAAAAAAAAAAAAAAAAAGATAAAAGCTAGTCTTTTTTAAAAAAACTTTTTCAAATGTCTGAATTGAGGATTCAGATTGGTCTTGAAGGCTTCAAATTACAGTACAAAAATTTAAATAAAATTGTAAAAGGTAGAATTTTGCTTCATTTGGAGCTTTTAAATATGGAAGATATTTTATGTTGTAAAGAACCTTATTTAAGTAGTTTGGGCAATGTGGAGTCTTACGAGTATATGTGAATTATGTTCTGAGTTTTTGTTAATATAAAGGTAAATTTTCACAATATTAGAGGTGCATTTAGAAGGCAAGATTTCATTTAGAGACTAAGTTATGTGACTTCATTATTTCATTAATAAACCTTGAAAACAGACTACCCCTAACTAAGTTTAATTTGGCAGTAAAGTTAGCAGTGCTGTAATAAGTCAATTCTGAAAAATGTGCCTTATAATCATTTTACTGAAGACCTCTGGTGACTGCTGCAACATTACATGGTTAAAACTTGCTGTTTTGTTGTAAAATGGAGTTGAAAGAGTTGAATAATCTGATTTTCCAAAATGAGTTTTTCTTGGCATTCTGTTAAGATGTTATATTTCCTTCATATTTAAATACTTTTATTGTAAGAGCTGCCCTCATCCAAAGCACTTAAGGAAATGTCGCCAGAAGTTAAGTAATGGGTTTTAAAAATAGATTATCAAAATTTACTGATAGCTCAATCTGTGAAACAAATGTGGTCTCTGTGGTTTCTCATGGCCCAATTAATGATATGTCTGTTATATGCCAGGTTTTGTATATTGCTTCTTGAAAGTATCCATTAAAATCTGAGTCATTTGGATTTGAAGATCTATAGATACTTACTAGAGTAGTAGTCTGATATAATTATGAGTGTCTACTTAGTTCTTGCAATAGAATATTAAATTTTACAATGTGGTCTTTACCGTTTTTTTCTTCATATGCCAATCCTTTCACCAAAGAACAGTTAAAACCAAGTGCCGAACTGTAAATGCTTACTCCCCTGAAATATACCATTAGAATAAAAGATAACCTCTCTCTTTACATGTGAGTATAAAATTAAAGACAGTATTTTAAATTGATGTCACATGGAAGAAGAAAACCTACATAGCTTTTGGTCTTCTACTTGTAGTAGAGGGAACCATATCTTTACACTACAGTGAACCATTTTATAACTGGATGAAACTAAGCATATCAGATGGCAGACTTATGTGCTGATAGAGATTGATGCACTGATAAATGATAAAATGAAGAGAAAGGGAAAGAAAAATTGAGCTGAAATAGTAATAAAGCAATTAGGTCATTAAGTATAGAGACAAACAGTTCTGTGTATTTTGAAAATAACTGGCAGCCAGTGGTCCCTGAGTTATCCTATACATAATAGAGTACCATAATTAATGTTCATAAAGCCCTTGAATAATTATTTAGAAATACATTATTATTTAATACTCTGACCCCCCATCAGTAAATAATTTCCAACAAAAGACAGTGTTACTTCTTAGATGGATAAGCTGCATATAACTAGAAGGTTCACTTTCAAAATAAAATGTCATGGA